CAAGTTAAATTGGCCTATTCTTGCATTGTCCAAGATTCTTCTATAGGGGGAGAATAGACCAAAAAAGGCCCAAAACTTTTTAATGTTAGTAACTAATTCAACTTTTTTTAAAAAAATTAATAAATTTAATCTTTATTTAGTCAAGACTCAAAAGGTTATTTCCTAATTGGTTCAACTAGATGTAATGAACTGAAATGTATAGTTTCGAGACCAATGAAAGCTTCTGAAAGAATCCATTTTTGTGGCAAGGAATCCAGATTGGTGAAATAAAAAATGCCATAGATATGTCAATTCAAGAGGAGTGTGTTATACTTACATCGGTCAAAGCTGGGAGTTTCTTGGTCTGTAATAGTCGGTTGATAGTTCGGAGCATTCATGCAAAAGTTACTGACAACATTTCCCCAAAGCACCAAGATCGAACAACAGCACTAACTCTCTATTTTTGTGAAATCTGTAAGGTCTCCTAGCCGGTCGAACAGCCGGTTATTTGCGCCATCTTTAATTTTACCCTAGTGTCCGGGCCTACTCGTTCATATTGAACAACCGCTGACAGTTTACCAGAAAATTTGTCCTTGTATCTGACGCGTATTTTCGCTTGTATTATATTGTAAAAGTTACAAATTCCTTGTTTTAATGGGTCGCAGGAGTAGGCATAAGAAGATCAAAGCATGTGATCCATTTTATAAAGGACCAAAGAAAGATGGCATCTCAAGCAGGTAAGTCTGCTGTACGAACACTGTCACGTGCTTTGTAAATGAAACCTTAATTGGTAGTGCATGATCAGCGCTAACCATTGCAAGGATTTCCTTGTCGAGGAGAATTTGCTCGTTTAAATATGTTTTAGTTCTTGTGTGTTTGTACTGCTTCCCAAATCAAAATAAAGCTTAACAGTGTATTATGTAGTCATGCTATGCGAGCTATAAATTAGTCATGTGTATGTTAATTAACTAGTTTCACAGGCCTTTAAAATTCATACTTGGCTACAAGGCTTGGGGGAATAAAACAAAAGAAATCATCTTGAGGTTCAGTAATGAATAATACATTTCTTTTGTTGTATTCCCCCGAGCTGCGGAGCTGAGGATGAATTTTAATATGTTGAAATTGGTCTATTCACTTTGGCCATAATACACCTTGTTCCCCACTCCAAATAATAATGATAATAAATAATAATAATATAATATTGTCTCAATTCGTCAAAAGATAAATTAAAATACACATCTTTTGTTACAAGTGTGTTTAAATTAAGAAATTTTACATCTAGTAAAAAGTGTAAGAAGGTATAAATAGTAAGAATCAAAATCTAGAATATTACAAAGCTAATTCATATTTAAAAAATAATTAAACAGTTGATAAAAGAGTTTTTAAAATGCATAGCATTAATCTTAGACTTATGCTGTGTAATGTTATGTGGAACGGCAACATCAACAAAATGGTTACTAAGGCATCTAAGCGTCTTTATATTCTTAGGGTTCTGAAGCAGGCCGGTATCCCCTGTAGCGACCTCCTCAATGTCTAATTTGCTTTGATACACTCAGTTCTGGAGTACTATTGTGTCACCTGGTCAAGCAGCCTACCTGTCTATCTTAGCAACAAGATCAAGCGAGTCCAGAAAAGGGCATTGCGTATCCTATTCCCCATTATCCACTATAATGATTCTCTCTCATTATGCAAATCACCCGTCTTGATGCTTGACGTGGTGATCTGTGCTTTAGAGTGTAAGTGGCACAGCGTCCGTGATCACCCAAAATCACTTCTGCACTACTGGTTAATTATTAGCTAAGAACATTCTTGAGATCATTAGACACCATATTAACATAAATGAAAAGACTTTCTCATTTTATCGCAGAAAAAATTATCTTTCACATAATAAGATAGTGCAAGAACATTTTTGACACAATTATTCTTTCCAGAGGGTACCCAACCAAGTTGAAAAATTATGGAAATTCTAGAGGGTGGGGGGTATGACAAGCACCCCCTGGAATGGAAATTCGAGAGGGGGTGGGGGGTCTAAAGCAAAAATGCCCTCTGTGGGCTAGTATGGATATTTTTCGGAACTGCACTTTAAATGCAAGGCCATTGACATGGTCTCTCATGACATGAAAAAATTATGCTTACACCTGACTTAACAATAAAAGTAGAACAAGACACAAAATGTAAAAATTTCTCAGGCTCACTTTGGATGCAGCTCCTGAAAGCAAGTAAGTGAGCTTAGAAGCTCATCCTGTACTCTGCTTTAATGAAAGCCTGCATGTTCAAAGAATTCTGTGGTGAAGCTTTCCTCAACCCCAAAACCAAATATACAAAACAGCTTCGAATAACAGAAGAATCTGAATACCAGCTATATTTCATTTTGTGGCGACAGTGGAAAAAACAAATAGGAAACTGGACAATTATTATATTTTTAAGAAACAGTTGAAGACTTTAATATTATTTTAAACTTGCATACAGTTTTTAACTAAACATGGGTGTATATAAATTTTGCTCTCTCATTATAGCAAAACCTTGTTATAGGGAACATGTTTTTCCAGTCCCTTGGCCCTTGACTGGGTAATGAATTGAACTATTCTTGGAGGAAATTGGTTCAGTTCATTCTAAAATAAAATTTTGGTTGCAGTAACAAAACACCATTGAAGAATGAGAGACTCACTGATCAGAGAATGCCCAGAGCTGCAAAAGATTTGATTAGAAGACAGATGGCATTAAAGAAGCCAACAGCCACAATGAGAAAAAAGGATGCAAAGACAAAGAAACGTGGTAATTATCAAATGGTTGTAATATACCCAGAAAGGTAAAGATGAAATAATGAATATCTTCATCTTTCCCTGGTAAATTACAAACCAATTCAAGGACCAGCTCCCAGTTGGCTTGCTAGCTCATTATTGGTTAGAGCACTGCACTGGTATCACAGAGGTCAGGGTTCGAATACTGGCAAGGCTGATTTTTTTTCAGGCTTTTCTTTCTCATCATCACAAGATGTGTATTTAACTGTGATGATCTTCTCTGCATTTATCACATTTTCTTATTGGTACATGCTTATGATATAATTCCTGAAGTGTACATTTAGACACAGCTACTGTAGAGCCTTTCACTTTAAACTTCTCCATATTACTGTGGAAAATGTTTGCCAAAACACAAAGTGGGCTTTCAGTGAGGACGGCCTTATTTTTTTCTGATTTGATAATCACAGAGAAGAAATTTGATAATCTCACATCCTGGAATTATGCTGTCTCCAACAACTGAGTCTTTTCATTAATGTTATGTTAATGATTTATTGTGCTGTACAACTTCTCATGACCTTGTTTTATGGCTGTTACTTTGTAGTAACACCAAAGTTTCAGAGGATTGCTGGGGAGAGCAAGAAACAATACTTCGACAGGATAGATCATGAAGCTGCTAATGAGGTTGCTCTCTCTTTAAAGGCATCCAGAAAACTGAGAGAGGCAAGAAAAAGGTAAAATCATATACAAACTAGAAAAATGTAGCTTGTGTCCCTCAGTAATCGCTGTTGATCTGAACCCAGCAAATTGCAGTGTGAATAACTCTTCCTTAGCTGAAAGAATTCAAGGACATGCATGAGGGCTGTCCTTTGAGATTCAGTGGAAGTTCTCATGAACAGACAACCTCGGGACGCGAAAAGGCTGTCCATTACTGGAGCTGGCACTTACGAGAGTGGTTCTCATAAGTAGCCACTACAGATGTAAGGGTTAAATGGCCTTGTGGTTCAGGATCTTGCCCAACTACAAATAAACATTGGAAATGCAAAAAAAACAAGTGTTTGTTAGTGTCTGGCTAATATAATTATTTGTTGTTCTGACAATGTTGTAATTCAGTCACAAGCATAAAATTCAAGACATGTTTTGTAGTGTACTCGGACATGTATGGAGAAAAAAACACTGAAAATTATTCAGAGGTGAATGAGATTTCATTTCAGGTATCTGCCTATTATGGGAGCTGAAAAACTAAGCTGAAATTTAACTCGTTAACCCTGAAAGTGTCCGCGGCTGTCTACAGGAATTTTCCCCTTGCGCAAATGTAAAAATACAGAGTTTGTATGGGAGTTTAAGCAGTTTTGTGAAGGCAGCTGTAAGTAGAGCTAGGCACTGTCCAGTTCGAGAGTGGCCGTTAAGCGAGCTTCCACTGTACTGTTGTAACTTTTGTTCACTTGTGGGAAGCATACATGCATGAGTGACTTCATCATTGCCTAAATGTCATTCGGTCGCTGGCCTGACAGAACAGCCAACATTTTGCAACAATACTGTTGGTTTCCCCATGAAGTGACGTCTGAGAAACAAGCAGAAATTCCATACTGTTTCGGAGGTCATTTAGCCGCGAAACCATTGATGGCATTGCAAAATGTCGGCAGATTTCTCAGGCTTGTAATCTTTCTTTATCATTTCTTAACATTGCTTTTATTAAACCCAACATGTCATTAATGTTTAAATAAATTAAAGCTACCATGAAACAATCATGAGTTTCATGTGGTCTTGATAACTATGTTGTGCAAGGTGGCCATGCATGTTGCTTCTGTTCAAGTGAAAGCTAAAAACCCAGGGGTGAGGGATGGTGCTTACGGAAAATTTGGGTAGGGGTATGCTGCCAGGGCTTTATAACCATTGACCCTGTGTAAGACAAAAACCTCCTGTTTTGCTGCCCTGTTTAAGACAAGAGACCTCTTAATATAAGACCAGGGTGATTTATTTCATTTTGCATACAGAATTGTGCAGAAGAATTGTACAGAAGTGTTTTTGTTTGTGTTTTTTTTTCTTAACAGCATTGAATAATAATATTACTACATTTTTTTAAAAATGTAGCACCATAGAAATGAAGACAACCCACTGCTAACACCCTGCGCAAGTATTGCATGACCGTACAGTTTCGTTCAAGGCTTTCATTTGAGATAGACACCCGGCTGTTAAAGGCACTAAATAGGGACTGTAAATTGCATACCCTCAAGACCGTGGAAGAACCTCAAAACCATACCCTGTTCAGTGGCACATACCCATTCAAGCCAAATAAGGGAGTGCCTCCCCTCCCCCCTGAGGCTACACACAAGGCAACATTTACGAATTCATCAAAAAATATACATAGGGCAAGACAGTGTCAGTTGCTTACAGGTTGAATCTTGTGCTCTCTATCATGTCAGTATACTGTACGTAATCATGTATTATTTCTCTGCCTCATGTTGGTCTTAGGCACTTGATCGAAAGGAAGCAGAAAATGAAGGAAAAGAAAAAGCCATACAAGGAAAGTGCTGACTTAAACCTCGTGAAAGGTAATGCTCCTTCTAATCTATTGACAAACACAATGTGCAGTGATCAGTGAAACTTTGTTATAACACTTTTTGATGGACCAAAAGAATTTCTAAATCTTTATTTATGAATTTTTCAGATAACGTGAGCAAATAAATGGCGGGTTTAGCTTTAACTGTCTTTTTCAGATAATGTAAGGTTTGGAGAAGTAGCCATGGAGCCACCATCCCTAACAGCAAAGCCGAGAAAAGCGTCCAAGATGAGCAAGGTATTTCACAATTTGCAACAGTCACAACTACTTCACACTTCGTTTGTGTAATTGAGGAAGATGGTCTTGATGACACTTGTCAGATGGTTCTGGATTTTGTGAAATCGTTCCATTGACTTGACAAAACTGCCTGTACCGATTTTATCCATACATTTATTTTTATCCATACAAGCTTACATGTAGCTGTTTGGTAGGATAATCATCAGTAGCACAGGAAATACATGGTCAGATTTAGAGGTTGGCCCAGGGGACCTTGGCCACCCCTTTTCCCATAAAGTTTTGAATTATTTTTAAAGAATTCTCAGGAAAATAAATATTAACTATATAGCGGGCAAGACTGTCCTGGCCATTCCTTTCTGAATTTTCTGGATTCAACCCCTGCAATGGTCACCCTTTGGTATATTATCTTGAGAGAGAGAGAGACACAGACTCGAAAGTTAGAACGGTCAGCCACCATGTACAGCGTATTAAGGGGGGCAGTCTCGGTTTTTTTGTTTTTGTTTGTTTTTTTGTTTTTTTGTTTGGGGGGGGGTAGGGAGGAAAGATGCTGAATTGGGAAGGAAATTGAATTGGGGTAGAAAAGGTATTCACGTGATATTTTAATCGTTTACAACCCCCACATCCAATATTTTCCAAAATTTTAAACATCCCTCTCATTTTTATACATTAAAACATTCGAATAGCATCTTAAATTCTCCAAAAAAATATTAAACTAAGTACTCCAACCTTAGTTACCGATTAGTTATCGCTCTTTTGTCGTATTATTCTTTTTCAGGGAACAAAGCCGCTGCTTCTTCATTCTCTTATCTCACAAGACACAGACAGAAAGACTGAAAATGATAAGCAAACTGACACTACTGAGGACTCCGGCACACCGAAGACTAAAAAACGAAAGCATATGTCGGCTGTTGAGCGTGAAAAAGCTGACAAAGAAAGAGAACGTGCTATAATGGCGTACAGATTGATGCGAAAACAACGTTTGCAAGGAAAGAAAGAATCACTGTGAAAAGAGGAGCCTGAGAAGAATCCAAGAGCGGTTTCTGTTGATAGAGATTCTGCTTCGTTGAATACAAGGCTGTTTTACTTCATCAAAGTTAAGAGGGGAGACCGTTGCATGAGAGACCCGGCTACGCGCGGGGGAATTTGTTGTATATTCTCACCCGGAACACGCACATTCAAAGCCAAAGAAAACTGAATGCACAAGATATGAAGAATCGGTCCAAGTCTTTGCGAGTCGGTAGAGCAGGAGAGAATATGCTCCATCGCTGCGGGGAGAAGGGTGTGGCGAGGGTACCGAGACCTAAACTTTCCTAGAATTGGCTGAATTACCATTCGGTGTACTCTTTAAATTGAGGGGCAAGGTCTGTGGATAAGCCGTGTATTTCCACGGGTCACGCTGAATGCGTTAGGAAGTGCATTGTTGTTAATTTAGGCTTTTGTGCCTATTTTCCTCAGGGAGAATAGCTGAATCGTAAAGACTTTTTTCTTGGGCCATCGTAGCTTGATAAGAAATAGAACACAAACAGCAGTGATAAACATGTTCAACTTACTTGACGTTTCGTATGCCTCTCAACATACATTTTCATACGAAACGTATAGTTTGTAAAAATGAGTAAGATGAATATGTTTATCACTGCTGTTTGTGTTCTATTTCTTGAGAATAGCTGAAGCCAATGCTGAAGCCAGGTCACATGGCATCGTGTTTGCGGTTATTCTTTCATGTTATGCTTACGCCAAATAGTGTTTGCTCATATTGGTTATTCAAAGAGTACGTGACTGAATTTGATGGAACGCAAGTTATGAAACCTGCACCGTGCAGTTTGCGAGAAAAATTTCAGCTGTTACCCCCTGCGGTTCGCCTCGCAACTGGCGTCCAGTTTTCATTCCATTTTTTTTAGCGCGCTCTCAACGATTGAATGAAAAACGACAATATCAGAGAAAGGTACCTGCGAACACTTCTGCAAGATCTAGTCAAAACCATTCTACGTTATGAGAGTCATATATTACTGTAGACAAAACAACACAGCGCCTTCAGTGGTAAATTAACCGAAAGCATAGAATTATTGAAAACCCGGAAGTATCCAACCACTACCTAAAGTGGCCGCAAATAAAGTTTGAAATAAAAGTCTATTGAATGCTGTCAGAAGTACGTGCTGGAATGTTAAGGGGAATGATTATATCGGCTCGCAAAGCTCTGTGAAGGCTACTTGGCAAACAGAGAACACCGTTCCGATGGGGAGAGTGGAAGGCGAACTTCGCTCTCATTCCAAGCATTGCAACCCTGCGTACGCCCATGGGGAATGTCCCGTAGTTTAGATCCCGTCCACACTGCACTCGTGCACCAATGCCGTTCTCGTTTGAAACGGTATTTGTTTCTATGGGTCGTTTCCTTGTGTTCGCACACAAGAAATGAAAACGGAGGTTTTTGGAAACGCTCTCGAGCTAAGTCGGCGAGAGGGCGCCTCATAAACAGTTCACGCACATGACATGCAAACACTTACTACGCAAAAACAAAAGCCAAGTGGAGATTTGTATTTCGGTTTCGTTCACCAACGGGGGGAAAACCCCTTACCCCTCACAACTTTAGGAGACATGGTTTCTCGAAAGTCCCGACAATTAAAGGCACGGAAAGCTGTTGTTGTTTACATTCAATATAAAAGTTTTGATAGTTTTGAGGATAACATGATAAAACTATCATTGAACAAACAAAATAGATCGGTTTGTCAGCTAGGACCTACGCTCTTTTTCTTCAGGTTTTGATTTGATTACTTGGTTTCGGGCTCGAAAAGTTACCGGACTTTCGAGTAAAGGCCACTGATCATCACGAGCAAAAGTTCGTGTTTGGATTGCATGAAACATCAAAGACAGGAGCAGGTGCAAAAATCATATCTTCTTTGGTTTTCAGTGCTTAGTTTATATCTGAGAGAAACGCAGGTTTCCATTTACAAGGCCGGCGCCGCCCAGAATAAACAAAAAACTGTCTTTCAGCAGAAATTGTAGAAAACTCCTTCAAAGGCTGTACCTATGTAGCTTTTCCTTCCATGAAACGTAATTATCCTATTTTTAGATTTAAATTTCTATCAGTTTACCCCTGAACTTCCGTATGTAAATCAGATTGAATCGTCCGTCAATAAAACTATTGGGGTTAGCCACAAAAAACGTGTCATTGTAAGTTACATTTCTCCGGTCATTTAAGTTGAAGGTTGGATTCACATGAGGCAACAAGAAGGTATTTATGTGCAAATTATTCATAAACGTCTTATGGCACATTCTATCTGTATTCCCAGACTAAAAGCGCCACTTTATCCTTGTAGTACATTTCGGCTTAAGTTTGAAGTTGTTCCCCTCGAAAAAATTTTCTTGTCTCATTTGATTCAGTCTTTAACACCGTGACTTTAGACTGGAACTTCCGTGTGCAAATGAGACATGTATAGCCATGGGTCACTAACTGAGTAATTGGTAGATGTTGCTACTAATAACAAAACTAAAGATTTGCATCTCTTTGTTTGATTTAAGGTCGAATTCACAGTTGTAAACAAATGCTAGATCTCGTGTTTTGGTAAAAGTCAGATAAAATGTCGACTATACGTAGGCAGGATCAGGAAAGGAAAGCAGCTTTGAGCAAGATACAACAAGAAAACGGAAATGACTATTGTGCTGATTGCTCTGAACAACGTAAGTTGGTTGATCAACTAGCTGGGGTTAAATTTATAAATTGATTTAAATTATATCCAGTAGACACTTTGCTACTAGCGAGAAACTTTCCGGCGGTGCAAACTTTCTCTCAAGGCGTGAATCTCTTTTTGAATTCTCTCCTCTCAAAAAGGGCGAGGATGCAAGACAGGGGGACTTAGTACTGATACAAACTCTTTTCAAATATTTCTTTCACATGTGCCACTGTTGTACATGATAGTTAGTACAGTTGTACTCAATAATGTCGGGGTGTTTGATAAGAATATGATTTTCAGATCGCTTGTACTAAACATTGAAAAGTTGAATCAGCTTCAATTAGGGCATCCTTAAAAAAAGAAAGAGAGAGAGAGAGAAAATATCGGCTGACCATAAGTGAGTGGTGGACCGTCTAATTATCATACTGCGTGAAGGAAGTGAGCTAAAGTGTCTTTACCTAATAGGTTTAAAATCGGTATGTCTGAGGAAAAACGGACGCCTAGAATCTAACCGATATTGATTTTCGACACGTTACGAAGACATCTGTTATAGCTAGGCCGATTTGCAAGGGAAGGATGCCTTCGTAATCGGAAAAGGGTTCGGACATTAACTTTTGGCGTGTTTCGTTCACAGATCCCAAGTTCGCTTGCATTGTGAAGGGTATATTTCTTTGTCTTGAATGCGCTGGCGTCCACAGAAGTTTTAGTACTGACGTATCAAGAATTAAGTCGGTTAATACTGACGTCTGGACCGATGAAATGTTGCAGGTAATTTTATAAGTCTATGGAGCAGCTAAAAAGAAATTTCCACAATTTACAGCGTGCTAAAGGGAATTTACCACCAAGATGACGCCAGTGATGTCACACTTTGCTATTTAAAGACCTTTCGTTCGTTACTGGCAGAGGTCTTGTCTGTAGCCATTAAATGACCTTTGATAATGAATTACTGGGAAAACATTTCCTAAGCTAACAGTTCAAATTAAGGGGAAATATAAATTTCTGGGAAAAAAAATGATCGTTAAAGTGAAAGAGGTGAGCTTTGTTTACGGACTGCTTAAACATGTTTAAAACTTAAACTTTGATTTACTATTTCTCACTTAATGAAACCGCAGATACAGTTTACAAATTTTTAAAAACCACGCATAAATTACGGCTAAATTTATAATCTAAGTGGTAAAGTCAACCAATAAAGGACCACACAGAGGTAATTTGTTTGTGCTATGTAATGAAGTTACCCTGAGGCAATCTAATGGAAAGTGAGAGATGACCTTGGTTGTAAGTCAAAAAATGGAGCCTAATAGCGACCTATATATAGTCGGTAATATGACATCAATTTTCAATCCTAGTATATAAAATTTAATATGGTAGTAGTTGATTCCACAAGCGGGCAAGACTATGGGTGAAAGCTGCGTTCTGATTGGCTACCCGAGCGGGCAAAATAGGCCCTTCTTTGCCGCTCGAAATTTCCCGCTTTGCTCGCAAAAACAGACTTTGTTTTGGCCATACAATAAATCCCGGCTTTATTGACCAAGCATGTTCTGTCAAGATGGCTGGAGTTTGGCCCGTTCTTGTTTTTGCGTTTTATTGACCTCGACTTCGTCTCTCTTTAAAACGGCCCACGACCTCGATCAACATACCAGCATGTCATGACACTTTTTTTATTCACTTTATGTATGCTTATAAATTCATCTTTTACAGATCAATAATACTATAGGACGTAACTTTATAATTTCACTGATTTGGAAGCCGTCTTGTCAATGTAAAATGTCTTATTGTCTGGGTCTTCATCCGGGTTATAACCCAAACCCAGACCCCTCTTGTTTCTGCTGCAGTCCATAGCAGACTCGTACTGCTTCTCCAGTCGCCGCGTCAAGGACTCTTCAGTGCCTTTTGTCATGCAGCGACTACCTGACGACGGGCCACTGGCCGCAACATTCGCTTGTCTTGTGGCTGATGGCTTTTTGAAGGCGCCCATCAGACGGAGAAATTTGTCGTTTCTTTCTGCACTGCCAAAGTCAGCACCACCCCATTGGCCAAGCTTAACAATAAGGAGAAAAAGAAATAGAAACAGCTTGGTAAAATGTTGCGCGGAATGGTACGGGTATTTAATTTTCTAATCGCAATTTCCTATTTCCTCATGTAAATGGTACTGTGTACCCTGTGTCGCTGTGAAGTCATGCTTACGTGACCGAATGTTAGGGCCTCCCTCACGTTTTAGATTATTTTCCGTGTGTCTAACTGACTGTATAGACAAACGAACAAACAAGTTTCGTAATACAAGTTTTAAATCTAGAGAAATTGTCGATCTAAGATACATCAATTTTCTCTTTCATTTTAGCTTAATCAAAACCGTTGTTTCGGCTGCTTACGGAATATAACCTCTCGCAAGGGAAGGAATTCGTATATTTTCCTGTAGCCTGTGTACAGCCGACCCCCTCCCCTCAGAAAAAAAATGCAGAAGGGGGCGGGGGCGGCTGTACACAGGCTAATTTTCCTGGGACTACACACCAATTTTTCATTCAGTGGAAATAAAAGTACTAGAGAGCATGAGAGTAATAGCACCTCTGTTGTACAAAACCGCTATCTTACCTCAGGTTCAGTTCTCTTTAGTGTTCTTCCCTCATTATCCCCGTTATCATCTTTACAAGTTTCTAACTCTTGTCCGATTGCACCATCTTTTTCCAGGTTCTTGGTCTTTTTCTTTCCGTTCTCCTCTTGACCTGTTTCTTGCCCAATTACAGATGACGGCTCTATTTCCACGCCCCTTTCTTTTTCACGGCCGCGCTTTGTCTCTTTTGATTCCTGATTGTCATTCCTCTCGTCAGATTTCACTTCTTGCTTGTCTTTCTCCTTGGACGATTTTTTCTTTTTCGATTTCTTGCTGCTACCACTGTTACTTTTTTCAACTCTACTTGATTTATCTTCACTTATTCCTATCTCACGGTCCTCCAAAGAAAATACAGAACCTTCCTTCTCTTTGCTATCCGTCATTTTCTTGCGATCTCTTTTCGACTTTTTTTCCGGGATGTAATTTTCAACTTTGGTTTTCACTTCTTCTTCCAGTCCACGCTTCCTTGACTGAACCTCTTCAGGTCTTCTCTCTCTTTCTTCGCCGTTTTCGTCTTCATTTCCTCCATTTTTGGTTTCCTCGAAGTCGCGTTTCGATTTTTTCTCTGCGAGTTCTTCTTCATCTTCATTTACAACTCCATGAACCTTGGTTTTCTTTTTGCGCTTTCTCTCTGAAACTTCCTCTCCGTCGGTAACGCTTTTTTCTTTAAGTTTCTTCTCCTCTTCAAAGCTTTTCGTTTTGCTTTGTCCGTGTTTAGAAGTTTTCACAGACTGCTCATATTGCTCGTCAGCAACATCATCCTGACTAACTTTAATGTTCTTTTGTCGTTTATCCTTTTCACTAACACTCTCTATTTTAATATCTTTTCCCTTACTTTTGACATCATCTTCTACATAAACTTTGTTCTCTTTTAGCTTTCTTTTCCTCTCCTTCTTGCTTGCAGAGGATTCCATCTTCCATTCTTCTTTTCCTTTTTCGGCTGCAGTGCACTCTTCTGAATACTGTTCCTCCTTTTTTTTCTCATCTGAATCACTTTCTTCTCTTTCCGCGGCAATTCTTTGTTTCTTTCGTTCACGTTTAGAATTTTTCTCAGAATTTTCCTTCTCTTTTGCTTCATCAGCAACATCATCACTCACGTTCGACTTCTTTTTGTGTCGCTTATCATTCGGATCTGAGCGTTTCTTTACTTCACCTTCCCCCAAATTTTCGTCTTCTTCAGACACCACAGTCTCAGTTTGACTTTCTTCGCGTCTTTTTGCTTTCTTGTGCTTGCTGGCAGAGCCAGAAACTTCCAACTCAACAGTTTTCGCTTCCTCACCTCCTTTGCGGTCGCGCTTTCTCCTTTTCACTTTTTCTTGTTCTTCAGTTAAACTCTCGGGTGCTATTTCTTCCGCAATCTTCTCCTCCTTACGTTTTTTGTCATTTTCTTCCTCTTCGCTTCCTATCCCCTTTGACTTCCTATCAAGATGTTTTGTTTTCTTCCTATCATGCTTAGAAATCTCCTTAGCCTCACTTTCCATTTCCTCTGTCTCATAACTTTCCGCTTTTGGTGTTTTCTTGTTCCTGCGTTTGCTTTTCTTGTCCTTGTTTTTCATACCGTTACCGGCATCGTAAGCGGAAACCACGCTATCATCCACCGGGGCTGTTGTATTTTCCGATACCTCGGCTTCAGATTTTCTTTCTTTGGAAGATTTTTCTCCGGAAACCTCCTCTATCGATCTTTCCTTAACCCTTTTATCTTTCTTTCCTCTTTTATTCCCTGTGCTTGCGTCATTAAAGGATATGTTTGTCCTCTCTTTCCTCTCAAGCTCAGCTTCCTCTTCACGGACTCGATCGGCTTTCGGTTTTCTTTCCGCCTTAGTTAAGGCCTTCTTATCTTTCTCTTCATTTCTCTCTTCTTCATCCATTTTACAGGCATCCCCTTCTCTTCCCTCTCCTTCTCCTTTTAACTTTTTGTCTTTTCTTTTCCTTCTCTTTAATTCCTTTTCCACATCCTTGCCCTTACTCTCGGACGCGCTTTCCCCAATTCCAACTTTGACGAGTTCCTCTCCATCAGATTTGGCTTCCTCTGTTTCAACACTTTCCACTTTCAATTTATGTTTTCTTTTGTGTTTCTTAGCCCTTTTTTCCATTTTCTCTCCTTCACTCAAGAATGTGTTTTCCCCCTCACCATCTTTCTCACCTACTTTGTCTTCAATCTCAAAAGCTTTTGCTGCCCGATTTGCTTCGCCACTCTCAACTTTCAAATGTTTGTCGTTTCTTTTTTCCATTTGTCCTAAAACTGGGACAAAACAAGAAAAAACTTTATTTAGAGGGTACTGGATTCCAGTGAAAGTTCAAAGTTGGAAATCCTTTAATGTTACCTGACGATTTCTATTTTGTTCTGGGTCTTGCTTCTATTTAATAAACCTAACACTAAGCAGCAGCTAACTTCTCCTGGTATCATTACCGCTTCAAGAGGATATGTCAAGCTATTTCCTATCCTTGTAAAAAGCTAAAACATTTTTTCGCATCAATTGAATTCCACAAATCATGGTCCAGTTTTGTTACTTAACCCTTTAAGCCCCACTATCCACATACAAATTCTCCAAACTGATCTCTATACATTTCATTAAAGAATAAGTTGAGAGATTTTGACAAAAGATCAAGGCATTTTCTCTTGAGCGTCCATTTAATTAATTCTCATAACTTATCTCTTGACAGTATATGGATATTGCTAGGAGAAATTTGATCTTGGTCACTATTGGGACTTAAAAGGGTTAAGACTATATTTATGATATTTAGGCATTGAAAGTGTATTCTGTTGTCTGTTGCAAAGGATGGCAAGGATGGACTTGGATTGAAACTTGAAAATTTGGCTATACCCTCAAAAATCAAATCAATCCTGGTCTCCAAGGAAATTATTTTCGGCCCTTTGGGCCTCATTTTGGTCTAAAAGTAAGGGAGAGCCCGGGCCCCCCCCCCAGCCCCTCCCCTGGATTCGCCACTGCAGCAATATTGTTATGACATAGCCCCTTTGATTACACATAAAGGTCATTGCAGCCTCCATTGTTTCCGGGTGTCACGTGCAAGGGAACTTGGGAAGGGTTCAGGTTAACACAAAGGGCTATATCATGACTGCTTCTACACTCTTCTCAAGGTGCCTCCCTTGATCATTTGAAATCTTCCACAATCTGTGATTTTGTTGCCTCTGTGTCCTGCGTCCCTGACGCATATAAATCCCCAAAGAAGCAAAATAATTTATGGCATGCATCCTGTAGGACATGAAATACATTGACAACAGTGTAGAGAAGATGCACATGAATATCAGAGAGTAAGGATTATTATTTTTCTGGGCATACAGAGTTTGTTGTGTTATAAACACCCACCAGAAAAAAGAAACTTTAATAACATATTTAGTCAAGAGTTCAGATATTCTACAAATTACCTTAAAAGGCACCTTTGACACTCTATACCAAAAAGTGTATTTCAGCTGACAGACCATATTTACATACTACTGAAGTTTTTAAAGGAAATGCATGCAAACCGATAAGCCAGAATGAGATCAGTAATACCACCACAAAGTATGGGTCCTACATTTTTGGGCAAATCATAGTCTATGATGTCATAGTTTTTAGGTATATGCAATAAATATGATTTTAGCCTGAGGGATTTTTCAGTTTTGGATTTTTTTTCCTCATGATTCTTTGATCATCCGTGTCACTTTGAATTCAGAGTATTAATTAACCCATGTGCATAAATAACATACATGTACTTGTGTGTTTAACATTACATTTTTGTGACCAAACACTACTGAAGCAAATTTTCAAAAATTTTGTTTACGACTTGTTTGCTTGATGGTGAAGTGACCAAGTGATCAACAGTTTTGATGGTGAAACGTTATAGCATGGAGGTGCCAATAATCTGACCAAATTAAAGAGGGTGGAAGAGAGTGTTCCTGTCACACACCTTCCCTTACTTACATGCTGAATATAAAAAAAGCTCTGGATAGGCTAGCTGAGAAGTGGTTAATTTTAAATGTCACTGAGAAATTGGGGGATTCTTTAAACTGATAGCTGAAATGTGAGGTCCAAAATATTAACTGATCACCGAGGAATGGGCTGAACTTTTCCTAGTGTCAGAGAAAATACCAAAAACCTTTTTGATAACTGTGGGCACTAACAAAAAGTCAGACCTGGCTAGCCAGTACTGATAGGTCTAGATAGGTCACTGAAAATTAAATTGGCTTTGTTCAAGATTTTTTACTTAGATCTTAAATAACCTACTGCTGAGCATACTACAGTGCCAGGAGGCGGTAAGTAGGAAATAGACGACTTCAAATCGATCTGGCCGGCCAGGTAGCGCCACATGAGATTTAAGCACCCTCATGTGATCATGTAGACTTGTCCCCCGGAAACAAGTAATGACCAGTATGTGTTTTGATTCGAAAAACGGTGTCTTTAAATGGACAGACAGTCTGACCCACCAAAATTTTGAATATATACGAATATAATTCTTGCTCTTGTATCATGACACAAAAATGTCACCGGTTAAATGCAAAGAATTGAGCTTTGTTCCGGGCATGAACGTGAGATGGAGCGAGTGTGAGCTTAGCAATAAACAACCAAATGCAAAAGCTTTACGAGAAAAGTTCGACGAATTTCTGACTAACAACACATTCAGCATATTTTAGAAATCACCTACCTTTTCATAAACGGTAGAGCTTTCGGCGTGTAAAATATTATTGGAACTAGAGATTTTTACGGAAATAAATGGAAGCAAATTCTATCTAGGTCTTCCACACACGTGCAACTCATTGAGCAGAGACTGGGTATGATGGCCTTGTGAGGAAGTGAGGAAGTGACTGACCCTCCCCTGGTCGATAAACGCAATAATGCTCCCAGCTGTACAAAATGTCGGAAAAGAACCGAGTTGCGATATTGGAACTGATGAAGAAGCCTGGAAATAACACATGTGCGGATTGCGGCGCACCAAGTAAGAGTTTTGAAACAGTTTTATTCCTTCAAGTTAACAGAGAAACGGTTCTTTTTTGTGAACTGTTAATTGATTTTCCCCGGCGATTTCCTGCATGTGCGTTGTGTTGAATTCGATAGATCCTGAGTGGGCCTCTGCATCGAAGGGACTATTTATTTGCATCACATGCAGTGGAATTCACCGAAATCTGGGAGCACAAGTATCAGCAGTAAAGTCTCTGAGGCTTGATACGTGGACAGACGAAAAGCTGAAGGTAAATTAGACAAGAAATTTGGCTTTCAGTACGTTAAAGCGAGTGAAACTTTTTCGTGTAATCTGACGTGAAATATGTAAGCTTACTTAAGCTTAATCAATTTCATCAGCTGATCTCCTACACTTGAATGAATGAAACTTTAGTTTTTAAAGATCATAGTAAGCTCCAAACATGTTTCAGACACCTTTTGTCAATATCTTCGGCTTATTGCTTTATTGTATTAATTAAGATAAAAATATCATCGTTCAAATTACACATAAGATTTATTTCATTTACAAATTTCATGTTAGCTGAAATCGTGTGAAGAAGCAAGAATTTTGTTGTGCAATGTTCACACTGAATAGTTATTTTATATGGTCACAAAACGTGTTTATATTATATTGTGTCCCAAACGTCCTTATCTTTTGCTGAATAGTTTATTTCCTTGTGTGATTCAATGGAGATGGAATTTAAGCTTATCTAATAATTGGTTTAATATGCCTAAAATTGTTCAAGCTTACGTTATTTATTTATGAGCATGTTCACGATCATCAAAACAGACTGACAGCTCATAACATGAAGTCTCTTGAAAACTAACTTTAAATAAATAATATTTAGTGTTCACTTACACATAGAAACGTTTCAGTCGAAACAGACTTTTTCTTTTCATTGTTTTTGTAAAGATGACAAGGGCTCTGAAACAAGGAATGATTTTTTTTCGTTAATTTTAAAGGCATTTCAAATTAATAGAAACAGAATAAAACAAGAAACGACTACAATAATGTAGGAACAAAACCATTATGTTCCTTAATTGTTGCCAGTCATTAGGACCATTACTGAGCCATGCATGTTTGGACATCATTTGCTCAAGCGTAAAATTGCACTTAGTCAAATTCCTTTCTAATTTTGAATTTATACGTGAAATGTGAGCAATGTCAAAGCAAGGGATGCAAAAATAATTTTACCTCGGTGTTAATGTAAATTACATAAATGATTGTGTCATAAAACATTTGTAGACATAATTTATTATTTATTAATGAAGTTTATTTGTTCAGTACTATTGTTCCATCAATGTTGAAGAATTAAAATTTTTGAAAACTCATTGTAAACCATCTTAACCTGCTCATCTGTGCATTTCTATATCGGTCTGAATTTGTCAAAACATGGCCATGAGGTTTTTGCCTGGCAGCCAGCACAGCCTGCCTCCAGGCCAGTGTGGTCTCCAAAAATTGAGGGAGATTGTCGTTTTGGTCAGCCAGGTAGAGATATCCCTAACAGTGGGTGGGTGGTCCAGGCCTGTGAGACAATAATGGTGGGGTAGGTAGGGGTCTATTTTGACACTACTCTTACAGTAAAGAGCAGTGTTATTTACTAGAGGCTTTGACTGGCAAATACCTTCATCATCCCTTTGCACAAGTCAACTCAATCAGGCCTCTGCTGATAATAATAATGATCATAACAAATAAAAAAGCTCAAGAGGATGAGCAAATCCATCCAATACCAAAGACCTGCTGAGACTTAGGAAGCCACTTCTATATCAATTCAGCGAGATGTATATGAGATGTTATCATTGGGATCTTTTTCCTCCTGACTGATTGGATGCTGGTCTGTTACATGGTTACTGCCCTGCAACTTATCTATTACTGCAGGTGCACTGGTGATGTTTCTAAAAGACAACAGGAAACAAATTTTTGAAATCAGTTTAGAGAATGTAAAATACTTGCCAAAGAAAGAGGAAATTGTCTGATCAATATATTAAAGTGGAGAAGTATTTTTTGAAGCTGTAGTTTGCGTTATTTGTTGCCTTTTTGTGTTTTAATAAATAACAAAACTTTTACCTTTAACAAAACTACAAAAGAATAAAGTCAATCTTGTTAAAGGGCCATGATTAGTTTTACTATAATGTGCCCTTCTCCATTCTAAGTTTCTTCTTTTATTATCATTATTTATGTACACGTAGTTTAAGCAACTTTGTACCAATTGATATTGTACAACTAATGTATTATTAATATTGTACAACTATTGTATTATTGTACAACTAATGTATTATAGGATGGAGTAAAAATAAAATACAAAATACAAATTAATACAAAGTAGAGATTTGACAAAAATGACATACAACAAACTTTTATTTTTTAACCAGCTGCAGCTACTTGAAAACACTTATTCTTGTTCTCTTTGCCCTGAATAGAGCACAAAGCTGTGCACTCTAAGGAAAATTATAGGGAGCCCAGTGCTCTGAACCTGTGAAATCTAGGTTGGCCAGCAAATAATTTGTATTAAAAGAAAACAAAGATTTTCTAGTCGCCCAAGAACAAAAGTTAGGCACTAGGGGGCCACCAGGCTAGGCTAAAGCACAGCCTCGGAGCATCAGCAGTATTATCTCTTTTAAATTACTATAAGTAATGTTAAGTATTTTTTGTCTTGCAGTTTATGGAAGAAAATGGTAACATCAAGGGCAATGCAACATGGGCCAAGAATGTGCCAGTTTTTTATCGAAGACCGACACCTACAGACCCACAGTAAGCAGAAATACTCATTATGATGCTAAGTTGTTTTAATCATAAACCATGCCTTTAAACTAATCGTGAATGTTGTCATGGAAAGGAGCTCATGATTAAGGACTGTTGTAACCTGAACAGAGTGGAGTAACAATATCAGTTGTTTCTTTTGAACTATTTGTTTATAGTGCTACTTGCATGCTTGAAACAAGACCCCCATAATGGGGTTACATTGGTCTGCATTTATTTATCTGTTGAGATACATAAAAGTTTGTTTGTTTAATGAAAACACGATGAAGGAAAGCAGAATTATCGGTCCAGACTGAGACTTCTAAACTGCGATTACCTTTTTGGTCTGCTAACTTTTGTATAGTTCAATGCTGTTCTTCCCCACATTTTCCAGTTAATCTTGGATAAAGTAACATGACATTATTCAAGTTCATGGTTAACGTCTTCACAAGGGTGACATAAATGTGAAGTGACCCAAGAAATATTTGCATGAATGCATGTTTCACGCTTAATTGGCTTTCTGCTAAAAACATGAGTTCAATCATGTCAGAAGAGGAAAATGTAAAAAAATAAAATAAAATCACTATTTGACTGTCCACGAATAGTTTCTGTTTGGCCTTGAAAGAAGAGATTGTTTGCATAGACCCGAGAGCTGAAGCAGAAGTTTGTATTGGTGCTAGCATTATTTTTTTGAATTGATTTGTTCACCAGCAAATCTTTAACATGGCAAGAGTATTTGCACAATTATCCTGAAAGTGACGTATAAAGTATAAAGGACTCTTTCACGTTGCTTGTATAAGGATCCTAAATGGGATTCAATTTGCTCAGTTTCCAAGCTCTAATCATTAAACTTACAGGTGTAAGAGTAATTTGCTTTTTGGTGTTCAGGAAAATTTCTTTTCCTCAATCCTCTATGCAAAGGAGGGGGATGGGAAACGTAATTTGATCCATTTTTAATTGTCTTTTTGCTGCACAGGAAATGGCGCTCATTTTTCGATTGGCTCTGCCGAAGGCAGTCCAATAATATTATTTATTACATTAAACTTTTAAATAATTATGTTTACGACCAACTGTATCAACTTGACAACTTGGAAGTACCAAAGTTTTGCTCCTTGAGCAATTTATTCGGCATCGCCAAAAAAATAACAACTGAACAACCTTTTAACTTTAATTATCATTGTTAACATTATTTTTTGCGTAGCCATAGTCATCTTCATCAACATGGTCATTTTTAGATTTCAAGAAGCTTTAAAGTACAAATTAAATCCTTGATCTTTTTAACTATAACTGCATATTTTATATTTGACTGGATGACTTGTGTTTTTAAGTCTGCCTTCAGAGAGTTATTTTGACTTGGTTGACGAGGTGTACAAATCTCAAGTAGTCAGTTATCACTTGTGAGAAAGCTGATAATTGACCAGTAATAAGGTTGCAAAAAATACTGTAGCCATGCTTGACTGGATAAATTTTAGAGGCCTTGAGAGTGCTATCCAATGGATAAATCTCTGTGCAGTGGATAATAAAATTGGTTTCCTTATCACTTAAAACTGTGATTCACGTTATTGTTCCAAGTGATAATCAAAAAGTATCATAAAAGATAAAACACAACAAGACATAATATGGGATATAAGGGGTAACTCTGCTATATATTTGTAGGTTTGAATGAATTGGATTTTTTTAAATTTTTTCTTTACAAAAAGTGTCCTTAAGGAGCAATGGATAAGAGCCAAGTATGAACGGAAGGAGTTTGTTGATGGAGCACCAGAGCCACCTTATTTAAAAGGTACACTAAGGGAAAATTTACAGATGTGCACACATTAGCCTGTGAATACAGCCATCTCTCCTCACACCTTGCCACTAGGGTTGTTTCGCGAGAGAGACGTCTGCACCTTAGTAACAGAAATTTCATACTATGACTTAAAAGCTGTCCAAAATGTGGTCAGGTTGAAGTAGTAGTTATATTATTTAAGCTATGCTTATGAATGTAAACACAATGAATCTACTTCAAAGCAGTCAATACTCACAGAATATTTTCTTTTCTGGAAGAAGCTTTTGAGGCTTGTGGGAGCTCGTTCGCAGAGAAGACTTTACGATAATCGACAAGGAGAAACCTTAAATTAAACAAATGTACATTTGGAACACCATGACTACCAGATGATTTACATCTTCAGTACAGAAAATTTTCTGTCGCTGAGGCACAGATGTCTCTCCTAAAAAACATCCCTAGGGGGGGGAAAAGCGAAGTTATGCACACATTGCAGGCTATGCACACATTAGCCATTTCAGAAACGCAAGGTTGCTGACGAAAGTTTTTTGTTACATGTGTGCACAAGATTTACTCTTTTTTATTCTTGGGTACACTGAGACATATTAGCATGTGTGTTTTCATTATATCAGCAATAAATAACAATAATTATTATTCACCGAAGTGGAGGTGGCTAGTGGTGGTTATTTACCGAATTTTGTCAACTTCTTCATGCATTTCGGGAACAGCTTGTTTGATTATTCGTGAAATTTCTTTGTTTGTTACGGCAGCAATCAACAATTATTGAATGAGGCATAGTATGATTTGAAGATGAGCCCAAAGGCAGTGGATAACCTCTGAAATCAGCATAATATTATTCCTCACATCACTAGAAAGCTGAATTCAATAAATTGTTTTGTAATTCATTCCAAATATTTCTAAGTTCTTATTAACACGCTTACCTTCAAATCTTCAAATCTTTGGCCTATTTACTACTTTACCTTCATTACAGAATTTATAAAAATTTGAATGATTTATAAAAAAGGGGTTTGAAGATGATCTTGATATTCAGTGGTTTGATGTGTCCCCAACATGTTTTTGTATCAGGCTCAATGCGAGGCTATTTAAGAAAAAAAGGAAAGGATGATAGCAGTTGGAAAGTACGTCTCTTTGTTCTGTCAGCAGATAACAATTCACTCAGTTACTATATTAAAGATCAGGTATGTGACTTAAGCCATTAATCAGTTCCAATATACTGTTTTTTTTTAACTATATAGAAACACACTGCTGGTTATTCCAGAATGTTAAGCAACTGAAAAAATGGTTTTCATTTAGGTAAGACCAGCCACATGTAATCAGTCTAGAGTTATCTTATAATTAATTCGTCCACCTTTTTGGAGTGGCCACTTTTTGCATGATAATTAATGTGTACGACACATTAATGTCACCCTGCTCATGATGTAAAGAATATTGATTTAAGGCTTAAGGCTCGATTTCATTAGCAGAGTTTGAGTTTGAATAAATTGTAAGTGTAGTTGCAAGAGTGCTTATGACCTTGTCAAAATAAAAATCAGTTTTGTAAGTAGAGTCACAAGCATGTTGGAATTGGAGTAGTAAGAATCAGAACGTTTCAATTTTCTTCCGACTCTGCTTATGACTCTGTCACGTAAGATCTAGTGAAAACCAAATTGTTGGAGTCGGAAGCCGAAGGAGAAGGATAAACCAATCACAATGAAAGTTTTCTTGCTTTGTGATTGGTTTAGTTCCTCTGTTTTGGCTTGCAACTCCAACAGCCTAGTTTTCACTTGATGGCATGAGTCATAAGCGGAATCAGAATGCTGTTTTTTACTACAAACATAAAGTTCTATGCTACTGATCATGACACCCACTCTGTCGCTAGTGAAACAGCCTTTAAGGACTAATGTAATTAAGTGCTACACTGGCAATCAAACGTACATGATGGCCGTAGAATGAATGAGAAATTCCAATAGTGTACCAGGCCAACTGCATTGTGATCAAAATGAAGAATTTCTCGTTGCACATTCTGCACCTAGCTAGTGCATTTATTTGTACATCTGAATCCCATCTATTCAAACTTCGAGTTTCCTGCACTACAAATGACAAAATTCTATTAAGAGAACAACTGGCAGCAGTAGAAAAAAATTACAAAATACAAAGAAAGTTTCTGTAAGTAAAACTCTGTAAAATTCATGAAATCGAGAATTTTGCACAGATTACTTTGATTTAGTTTGAATATTTTTATTTCCTTTTCAAGTGTAGAATATTATAATAATATTATTACTAACAGTTAATCATTATACATGCACATTTGTGGTGGTAGTTTTAGTAACTAGATTATTGGTGAGAGTCAAACCAATACAACAGTAAAGCCTTATATTTTCTGAAGGATGCAATGTTCATTTATTAATTTATTATTATTGGTGTTTGGTTTTGATTTTCAGGATAGAACACCGAAATTTACCTTCAATGTCAAAGAGATCAATGTAACTTTTGCTCAAGATAGAACAAATGAGGATAATAGCTTACAATTCACATATGTTAAGTCAGATGGATTGACGAGAAATTACTTTGTGTCTTCAGGGTCTGGAAAGGTATTTGAAAACCCTTTATGACATTACTTGTAAACGGGTCTATATTCTTTAAAGGTTTATTACCTTTAATAAAACAGGCGTGCGAGACCCACTCTTTGGGTAAAGAGAATTCCACTGTTTATGGAGGAAATCTTCAGACAGGTTACTTTATTGTCAAGAAATTTATTTACTAAACCACAGAGGGTGAGACTTAAGCATTCAAAACTAGTTAATGTGGTTCTGCCATCCTTTGTTACCTTAAATAACTAAATTTTATTATTTAATAAATTAATCTATTGAGAGTCATTATTTTCTATTATTAGTTATAAACAAAGTGCAAGTGTAGAGCTTTTTCTTATCACAAAAATAAATAATAATTATTATTAAATTATAAAAAAAAATTACCATTCTGTCACTCCTGAGATGACAATTTTTTTTCTTCTAACTGTCTGTTACGTCCGCTTGTATCAATGAAATGTCTGTTCTTGAATTACCAGGAGCTAATTGACTGGTACATGGCCATCAGATCTGCAAAGTTTTGTTTATTAGGACTAAATGGTCCACGAGCTGATCCCAGCAAGGTGAGGTGCATCTTAAGGAAGCCAAGTGCTACAGTCGCCATGATGACATCTTGTAATAAAAAAACTGAAGTATGGATTTGAAATGTTAATTGGCATTTCCTGATATCTCATTTTCTTTAAAGGAACTAGCAGTTCTTTTTTTAAGGCAGCATGGCCGAGCGGTTAGAGTGCTGCACCTGAAATTCAGAGGCCCTGAGTCCAAGTAGCACCCTGACCGCTGGCTGGATTTGTTCTCGGTAGTCCCAAGTTCAAGTCCTTGACCACGCTTGTAAATAGCCAACTGATTTGCCTCTGACCAGTTGTGATTCTTAACCCCGTTATGTTTGATTTAAATTATTTGCTTCAGGAATTTGCTCTGCCCCACTAGCATTAGTGCTTTAAATACTGCCGAGGGTAATTTATGGAAATGTATGATCTGCAGTGGGCTGCAATATATGTGATTGTGTATGTCGTAGTCAATTCTTTTATCTCAGTTACTTTTTGTTTTTCTTCTGTTTTGGGGTATGGTAATGCTAATGAAGTTGAAACAAAAGGAAAGTAAAAATACCTGAGATAAAAAATTAACTACAAGATGTATTTTAACAATTGAAAACAATCTTAATATTTCCTTTTAGGTGAATGCCATACTTACCAGAGACTTTACAATGGAGGGTTTTCTTCAAAAGAAAGGACCAAGGGTGAATATTTCTTATAAATCTGTAGCTTGTAAAATCAATGTCAGATCAAGTTAGTGGGTGCAAGTTCTATCCATTTATTCCATTGTAAATGAGAAATACCAGCATTATTAGCAGTACTCTTGGGGACTATTATTCACCTGACACCAAAATAATATTCATATTTGCAGAACAAGTCCATTCAATCTCCATATATTTCCCCGAAGGTACAGTCGAACCTTCACTAATGGCCACCTCTCCACAACAGCTACCTCTCTACAACGGCCATTTTTTTTGGTGGACAGTCCATACATTTGAGCTTGTTTCAACCTCTCTACAATGGCCACTTTCTTCTGTCCCCAAGGTGGCAGTTGTGAGAGGTTCAACTGTGTACAAAAGGGGCACCTTTTCCGTCAAAAATGGTATACAGCTATTTCGAGAAAGGGTGTCGGAAAAAGTGCACGGGACAATGCCGAAAGGTATTGTGGGTGGTTTTGAGTTCACTGTTCTTCAAAGAAATTTGCAAGAATGGCACGAGAGGCCATGGACATATGTTTACAATCGCTAAAGGAAAGAAACAATAGAAGGTTCGGCAGCTACAGTGTCAGGAACAGGTTATTGATCATATCCCATATTACCTTTCGGGATTGTCGCGTGCACAATTTTTCCGTCAACCTTTCTCGAAATAGCTGTATAAAAGGGTAAGAGGTTGGACCTTGGGGCGGAACCTCCCCGTATAAAACATCTTTGAATACCTCCATCCCCCTCCCCCCAGGGGATGAATACCAGGGAAAAGAGGCCACTGCTAGCAGTGAACATTCTAGAATGCGTTCATTATGGTTTTCATTCTGAAATGAAACTCTAATTCTGATATTAAAATTTCGTTTAAATGTAAACTGAAAATGAACTTTTTTCTGAGATGAGAATTGTGAACCTAAAAGTGTGTAGTCTGGGGTGAGCGTGGCATGTGTACTGTTTTCAAGATCATTTGGTGCGATGGAAGATACCAGAACAATGCCTTAAACATGAGCAAAGTTTTGAAGGCAGTACAAGCTTCATTTTCAAACGAAACTCATTCTGGAATGAAAGTCATGTAAATACATATAGCCCAAATTCTTATTTATTAACTCAGCTTGATACTACCATAATCTATAAATAATTTATCTTTATTATATAGACACGAGTGTTTTACTGGAAAATATACCACTCGTAAAATTGATACAAACTACATCCGGGACCCGAGTGGTTTATTTTCCATAATCTCACACGTGAGTTTATCGATGACATAATTTTGGTAATTTCCCTCTATTATTTTATCGATGTCATTTTGTCTATATAATAGAAAGAACATTACACGACGGCTTGAAGATATGAATTTTATTTTCTCATGGCAAAAATAATATTTTACTCACTCGCTGCGCTCGTTCTTAAAATATTGTTTTGCCACTCAAAAATAAAATTCATATCTTTGCACCACCGTGTAAATACTTGGTATAATACCAAGTATATTAATCTCTTGTATTCTTTTTGTATTCTGTACATAAAGGATGAACCTTGGGCGAAACGGTGGTTTACACTTGATGGCAGAAGACTTCTTTATTTCAAAGAACCGATGGTAAGAAGTTGTTCCCTTTGTTTATACAGTGTGCGTAACATTGCAGTTTGTAATAATATTAAATAAAGATTTATGGCGAAAAAGTTAATTCCAGTTAATAGAGAGTGCTGCGCCAGAGCTCCCAGGTTAGGTAGGTAGGTAGGTAGGTAAATTCTGTAAAACCATCTCAAGGCTATTAATATTTTGATCAAACTTGATTTGATCTCTGATTTCTGAATTTTTAAATTATCTCGCCCCCTTCCTGGCTTGAAAAAGAGACTTTTGGATAGGTCATTGTAAGTACCAGAAGACTGGCCCTAAATGCTTACTTGTAACTTATTATTAGGCTAAAATTTTCCAGAATTTGCGATTGTTGGGGTCAATAATAAATACATGTAATGATGCATCAGGGGGAATTCTTGCAGTCATTATTTATCAGACATGTTTTTCTCTGTACAGTCGAAGCTCTGGTAAGCAACCACCTCAGAAATTTGAAAAGTGGTCATAACTAGTTGCTGGTCGCTTGCAAGAAGGAACTCTCATAAGCGACCCACACAGTAAAACAAAAATGGTGGTCACAGTAACTCATTAATAATTCCTTAAAAAAACCCAACGAAATTAATGTTTAATAAGTGTCTTCATATCTGATATAGACACTGAGCTAAACTTTACATCCAGTTTTTTAGACCAAAATAACCCCAAATTTAAATATTAGTGTGAAGAATGAGTTGATCTACATCAGAAGATTTTGATGCCATTCAATAAACTCACAGTTCCTTTTTTTCGGGTTTGAGTGGTTGCTTACGAGAGCTTAAAAACAAAGAAAAGTCCAATTGGGTAATATTAACGAGAGCTTTTGTTTAAGTCACAGTTCAAGCGGGTTTTCACAAAGGTGGGCATAACTAGAGCTGGTTGCTTACGAGAATGGTGGCAAGGAGAGCTTCAACTGTATCTACTGCTGTACTTTTTTTGCTAGGCACCCTCAGCACTTGGAGAGCTCATCATTGGTTCACGAACAGAAGGATTTGATCTTCATGAAGGATGCACAAGGCATCAAGAATTAGATTACTGCTTCACATTAACCACACCTGGAAGGGATTATGTTGTGATGGCAACTACAGAAAATGAAAGAAAGATGTGGATGGACTGTTTATCAAAAGTCATAGCACAGCCAATGACAGATGAAGACAAACAAGGTTAGAATGACTTTAATCATCTTACTTATTAAAAACTCTTTATGGTACAGCAAAATAAAATATTAAGGTTAGGGGGCACCCAACGACTTTTTTCATGTAACTCAAGATAAAGTTGTGTTTACAGTTAAACCTCCATCTAGCAGCAACCTTCAGGGTACCCGCAAGTGGCCGCTTAATGGCGGCATTTATGACTTGTCATAAATTAGTGTAATCTTTAACAGAAACATCACTTTACCTTGAAATACGCACACAACAGGAGCAGCATTACTGGTCCACAACCAGGTGTCACCTTCTAACTTGGACTGTATTTTCCTTCACTATTCTTAAAATGAAGCCAAATTAAGTCTATCAAGTGCTTGATGGCCGCTTATAGAGGTGACAACAATGGGAGAACTGTCGTTAGGATGGCCAAAAGGTGGCCGTTGCTGCTTACAGCATGTAATAGACGTTTAATTTCTCAATTTTTTCCCTACAATTATTCTGGGGCTTTGATTACTGGACGCTTAATAGAAGGTGGCAACTTAATGGAGGTTTGTCTGTATTGTTAACCCTTTAAGTCCCAATAGTGACTAACGTCAATTTTCTCCTAACGATATCCATACAATGTCAAGAGATTAGGTTATGAGAATTAATAAAATGATCACCAAAGTGAAAATGCCTTGATCTTTTATCAAATTCTCTGAACTTATTCTAGAAGGAAATGTATGGAGATCAGTTTGAAGAATTTGTATGTGGATATTGGGGCTTAAAGGGATAATAAGGTATCCTGAAAATTTTGGTATAAACACAAATTAAATGTCCCCTAGAATCTTCTACTGAAAGAACTGGAGATACTCCATGTCCCCGAACTTTTGACCGCACCCATCAGGCTATCTGCATTTCAGCTTTGAATGAGACAAAAAAGCCACCTAAAACTTTGGACAGTTAGTTGTTAGAGTAGCCCAAAATTTGGCAAACATTCTTCTATATATGAAAGCCTAGAGAAAACCATTTCAGACAAATTATTGTGGCATATTTGCAAACATTCGGTTGTTGGGGACCCTGGATAAGGTAATTATGAAGTTTACAGCTGTATTTTTCATATGACTTAAAAGCAGTAGATAAGAAAAAAGATAAAAAGGTTTTTTTAAAATTTATAATATATTTTAACCCTTTTTCAGCCATGAATGAAACACGTGCAGCCATGGAGAAGGAAAAAAAGAAGAGCTTTATCAGCAACTTTAGAAAATCATCATTTTGAGATGACGATTTGACTTAAAAGAACTAACATGGAGCAAAACAACTGAGAGATATATTCATTGGCAGGTTCCAAGATTATTCAAATTATTATTATTATTATTATTAAGATTGTGAGCCTTTGCAAGTTTGCACACTGTTCTTTACAATAGCGGGAAAAAGTCAAAATTTGTCGGATGTGAGATCAGACGCACGCGCAGTTGATTGGTTGTTTTCCAGGATATTCACTCATGTGAGATGACATCACGTAAAATGCATGTGGACGAGGTTGAGAGATTTTGAGTAAATTTCCAGGGTGCAAGCAGATTATAAATGAGGTTAGTGTTTAGTAATTGCCACCTCTATTATTTTCTAAATGTCTTTATTTGCTTGTGGAAGTATTTATTAAGGTGTCGATCCAGAGCAGTTTTATGACTCTCGAGGAGGACAAGAGATTTATATGTGTTTGGCTGCTATATTTGCTGATTTGCAAATAAATGGAGGTGCGAAGAAATTGATCAAATACCCCTTCGTGGAGATAGTTTATTTCTCTGTGCATTAATTAGTTAATTTCCGACTCCAGCTTTCTGGTCTCGGGAGATAAGAGAGGAAGGCGTTTGTGTCATAGCATTATTCCAGGCACAACACATGTTAGGTGACAAAAATCTGTTGTTTAATATTAGTAATATTATTTCAGTAACCTTAGGGATGTTGGTGCATATTGCATGTGCACATCACTGTACTGCCCAAGCAACTTATTTCATAGTGTCAATTCACCTCTTGTATTGAGTGTGTACACTAAGTTGAAACCTTTCTCAGCTTAAGGTTATTGAATTAATTATCTGGTTGTTCTTTATCACAGATAGCCTGCAAGTTAGCATTCTCTGCAACTTGACTTTCTTTGAGCCAAGCGTAAAAAGCTAAGAGAGAGCTGGCTTGATATAAGATAGTTTGAAACAGTTATTACTGTGATGTAAATAATTTAATTCTAGGAATTTATATATATTATATTTTCATTTTATTTTTTTAATTTACGTTTCCAGCCTAATGTCAGTATCTGAGAAATTTTGTTCAAAGCTTACATTATATTATTTTCTAATAACTGCTATGAAACAATTAATATGAAATATGATAGAACCAATTAAAGTACATTGCAGCATGCAATGGATGTAATGTACAAGTGGTTATATCTGGATATATTTTGTAAACCAACTTGTACATCTTGACTTGTTTTTTAAAAACAATAAAATGTGCATGAAATTATTCATACTCTTGTACTTGTTTTAGAACCTCTCAAACAAACACTTGTTAAAAGTAAATGTAATATTGCTTGTGTGAAGGAGCAAAAGTAAGACTATCTTGAAACTTGAAAATAATTTAGCCTGTGAACAGGTTCACAGGCTAAAGGTCAACTCAGTCACACGCTAACCCGGCGGAAGTTAAAATGCTCCGGACATCACATTCACACTGTTTTTAAAATCGCTTCTTACTTGTCAACGCTCAGGAATAGTTCAAAGCTAAAATGCCAGCTGAAACCGAAACTGGTTCCCTGTATTCTCCTTCAGTAAGTATATTCCAGGCGGTTAAACGTTTCATGTGGGGAATCTTTTGCGCAACATGTTTTTCCCATTATTAACGTTTTTCTTGCGGGACTCGCGGAACGTTTTTATTGCACTAAGTATGTTTTCGTTTGACAGTTTTTCGCTTTTCCTGTTTAAGGAGTTTATTTTCATTTATTTAAATATCTAGTGTTTGCTTCTGTACATAAGTATCGGATACTGAAGAAAACGAATGGTGATTATCGATTTCGATAGAATCGAAGGCGGCTGCGTTCTTCTTCCTGTTCTTCCCTGCCGGCCGGCCCAAAATTAAATGCTCATTAGACAAGACAAACATTAGACAACACATTTATTATCATAATATTGCAAGTACAATTTCTTGCCACGCAGTTAGCAAAAAAACGCTAGTCGAGGCGTGCCAAATTAATTTTATTACAAATCAGATATTAAACAAGTAAAAAGGATAGAAAAAGAAAAGAAGAAATATGTGTAATAAATTCAAAAGCAAGAAAGACAAATCTGTTTAATGCAACCTGTGAAAGAGGCTAATAGTGTATGAGCCAAGGGGGGTGTCGGTACCATATTGATGGACAAGCAGTACGGTGGTTTTTCTTAATGTACTTAGCCTATAGTTTATAAATATGTGTGATAGCATTGGTCAAATTGTCATCTTCTGTGTTTTTTTGGGGGGGAGGGGTGGGTCGGTGCGTCGCTTTACTGTAGTAAGTATTTATCCTTTAAAGGGTGCCTTTAATTATCCGTAAACATGTTTAATTATCCATTGCAAACAATTCTTGTGCTCTGAATTTTAACACTTTGTGCAGTGCTATCACACAAAAATAAAAACTTGGGTTAATAACCTAGGTTTTTATAGGCATAAGTCTTTGTCCGTTTGAATGGTACCAATCGACCATTTTTGAGGTCCTGGCTCATACACTATAAGGTTTAGGATATCACGATTTTATTTCTTGTGTTATCATGGTTGCATCAAGGTAATCATCTTTGTCTTTTAATATTTCAAAGAGCACACTGATTAATTTTCCCTTAAACACTTTTTTTGACATATCTCTCATTCTACCTGGTATCTCATTCCATAATTTAGCGCCAAAAATTGGGACGGCTTGTCTTAGTTTTTCAAGATTAAATTTTTTGAGGATGATCTTGTGTTGTATGCATGAATAGATGATGTCTGCGCGAACAAATTACCCATTTTTGAGGGTGCAGAATTAGCATGAATATCATGCATTAGGTACGATACGGACTTAAAATAGAGAAAGCTAATTGGCAGGATATTTGCATCAATCAAAAGAGGAATGGCATTAACTTTCCTGTTGGCTAAAAATATGAAACGGAGAACTTTTTTCTGGAGCAATAAGATTTTTGCTAAAAGTGTTTTTGACGCCTGTCCCCAAACTATCAAACCACAGGATAAATAAGGCACGGTAAATATTTAGCAAGGTATGTTGAGGAACAGAGTGCCTCAATTCCTGGACAACCTTAGGATGGATAAGACAAACACAGGAGCCCATCAAATTTTGATGGGCTCCTGATAAACATTAATGCGCTTGTACAATCAATTGAGCGTTCTTTACATTCAATACACAAATAACGATTTTCATTTAAACATTAGACATTCAAACAAAATTGGCCTGAATTTCAGTCTATTATATCCCTCATTAACCCCCGGGGGGGGGCACTTGGATATTTTTTGGGTGGGTATGTGCCGCCTAGGCCCGGGGGGGACTCCCATATGAAACAGACGGGGATGCTCGTCGGAAATTTTGAAGTTAACTCCTAAAGGAGACCATCTGGGCGTGGCTCAAGCTTTTTGTGACCCTTAAAGGAGACCAATCTGGGCGTGGCTTAAGCAAATTTTGACCCCTAAAAGAGACCGCTTAAAAACACAGAAATACGACATGCAATGAGTTTTAATGATATAAAGACATAACCATCAAAGTTAAATAGAAAATTTGATTTCTGTTTCTTTTCGCGTAATTCTGTTTCCTCGCGGAACCCTAAACGAGAACTTGGCGGCTTAAAATATTGGCGCTTTGCCCGAAACACCCTAAGCGACACCAAAATCCAAAATTTACACCCCTAAGCGAGACGACGAGCATCCCCGTCTGTTTCATATGGGAGTCCCCCCCCGGGCGCCCAGGACTCCAAATTGGCACCCCGTTCGAAAAAAATTTCCCCTACAATTGATACCCCTTTCTTGAAATGGGCCAATTTTTTATACCCCGTTCTAGAATGCGCCCTAAAACTGATACCCCGTTCTAGAAATGGGCCATTTTTTTTACACTCCGTTCTAGAAAGTTTGTAAAGTGAAATAGCCCTGTTTTTTTTAAAAGATATTTCTTTATTTGTTCGATTTATACACCAAATAAATGCTTCTTCATAATCAGCAACAATTTTAAGCAGAAGATAAAGCCGTGATCCACAATTTTTTATGCCCCGTTCTAGAAAACGCCTCTGAAATGGATACCCCGTTCTAAATCAGGAGGTTCAAAATCACGACCCCGTTGGGCGGCACATACCCGTATAGGTAATGTATGGGAGTACCCCTCCCCCGGGTATTAACCTCTCTATTCGAACATCTTGGCAGGTAGGTTTATGAAATGGTAACCCTTAGCACATTTAGCTGCGGTCACAATGTCTATGTTTCTGCGCAGAGCTTCAAGCACTGCAGTTGTTGCGTTCGAACTCCCCTAGTGAGATTCCTAGGGCTCTGGATGGCCTACTTGTTGGGATCCATATTTGTCCGAAACGCGCAGCTGTCATTACACCAACAGCTTGATAGGTGATATTGCCATGGTCATATACATGTAGTCAGGTCTCGTTCTCGTTGGCCGCACACTTGGCGTTACACCCCCTCTCCCTGTCACGCCCTACCATGAATACATGTACTGGCCGTCCAAGTGATGAATGTATAGCCACAGTCGCCGACGAACACAAATTGGCGCAATACAGTGTGGTTCTTTAAACCAGGTAACCATTGCTTAATTGAAAATCCATTTTTGTGTATTAATTAAATGTCAGCTGACATGTAAAGAACAAGCGCATTAATGTTTAGCTAAGTTTGTCTTATCAGCGTCTTATCCATCCTAAAGTTGTCCTGGAATGCTATTAAATTGCAAACAGTGTCATAAAAATGTTAATAGACCTATTCGGCTAACTCAATGTTGTACCCAATTCAAACCCTTTGGGAATAAAACATTTTGTTTCAGGAATTTCCATATCATTTAAATGTGAATGCCACATTGTAATGCAAATACAATACACAAAGAATCTTATCCCTGGGAGATTTGAATTGGGTACAACACTGAGTTAGCCGAATAGGTCTATGAAAAGTGTTTTCACTTTAATGTTTGTCTGTTGTCCCTATTAACTTTCAAGATGGTGTTAATGACTTTGATGTTGGCGTTAATGAAAATACATTTTTCTCTTTTGTATGCTGAATAACGAATATGAATGCCCAAAAGTGTTATTGAATGTTGATCAAAATGCAAAAATCGTAATTGAATCTGATTTATGCGCAAATGTTCGTATTTTCGCACTAATGAATGTATCTTCAGACTATTGGTCGCCGTTTCACGCGAGTGATAGTGTATTTTCTCGTAATGAACAGCAAAAGGTGTACTAACTTAATAATATTATAGGTAAAGGTAATACTGTATGGGTAATGCTGACTCTTTCAATATCCAACCTCCAATAAGCAAGGCACCTCTTTTGATTCAGGGACAGCTATGTCTGATCCAGAAAATATTTGCTTTGGGAAGTTAGACTGGGCTTTGAAACTAGAATTTGTACCACGAAAGTACATGTACACTTGAAACTCCCTGTGCAACCAACTCTCATAAGCAACCACCTTTCCAAAACCAAATTTTCCCAGGCAAAGCCCTATACAGTTGGAAAGGGGCGTGACTCCCATATGTCGATTATGAAAGAGACGGGGATACTTGTTGTCTCGGTTAGGAGTGTTAATTGCAGACTAGTGTCTTACTCTGGTATTCAGAAAGCTAAAGCTTTGGGCAGTGTATAAGAAAATAGTAATTCAAACTAAGAAAACTAAATGTTGTAATATATTAACACATTTTATCACTACTGACAGCGCTCACTTAATTAGTTCCGGGAATTGGTTACATATTGTCTCGTAGGGTCAAATAGGACCTAGAGACACCCAGATTTTTTGACAAGCATCCCCATACCTTTAATACAGGAGTCAAACACCCACCTCCTGCCTTCCAAAACAATAATTATTGGATCTACTACTGGTCACTTGTATTGTTTGCTTATGAGATTTAAGNCTGGGCTTTGAAACTAGAATTTGTACCACGAAAGTACATGTACACTTGAAACTCCCTGTGCAACCAACTCTCATAAGCAACCACCTTTCCAAAACCAAATTTTCCCAGGCAAAGCCCTATACAGTTGGAAAGGGGCGTGACTCCCATATGTCGATTATGAAAGAGACGGGGATACTTGTTGTCTCGGTTAGGAGTGTTAATTGCAGACTAGTGTCTTACTCTGGTATTCAGAAAGCTAAAGCTTTGGGCAGTGTATAAGAAAATAGTAATTCAAACTAAGAAAACTAAATGTTGTAATATATTAACACATTTTATCACTACTGACAGCGCTCACTTAATTAGTTCCGGGAATTGGTTACATATTGTCTCGTAGGGTCAAATAGGACCTAGAGACACCCAGATTTTTTGACAAGCATCCCCATACCTTTAATACAGGAGTCAAACACCCACCTCCTGCCTTCCAAAACAATAATTATTGGATCTACTACTGGTCACTTGTATTGTTTGCTTATGAGATTTAAGCTGACATATTCAGCCTGTTGTGAAATTAGCCTACAAAATACAGTCAGCTCTCTCGTGAGCGACCACTCTTGGTGCACGGAAAACTGTGGTCTCTTATAGGAGGTGGTCCTTTAAGGTCCGAAAACATAACAAAATAATTTTAAACTTAATTGATTAACAAACTTAGATATAAAATACCTTTTGAGCTAAACTTAGGGTAATAGACAACACTTTCAATACCTGAAACAAGTGCAATGCAGTTTAAAATTTGGTGCACATATTTTTTGGCAGTTTAAATTCAGACTGTAAAGTATTTACATTTTACAATCACTCAGTCACATTCAAACGCATCTTGAAGAAATCTAGAATGCTTGATTGCCTTTGTGTTTTGAGCCTTTTTTAAAAAGTCAACAAGAATATCAGACACTTATGTGACTTCACAGGATTATTCTTTGCAACCCCGATAATGACAGTGATTGGTATACTCGTCTTTTCCTGGAAGTACACTATGCACTGTTATTATAGTGTATTTGTCAGAAACCTGGTTCAGCGATCTTAAAAACTGAACATGTGCGACATTCGAGTAATTCTAGGAGGGAGTTGTCACTTAATTACATAGTACCATTCGCCTTAAAAGAGGTCGCAGTTGATTAAGAAATCAGACAAGTGGCTGCTTACAAGAGAGTTTTTGAAAAAGTATTTGAGTGAGAAACAAAACGGTTATTTACAAGGTGGTTGCTTATGAGAGGTGGTCGCTTAGAGAAGTGGTCGCCATGAGAGATAGAGTTGACTGTGGCATGATCTTTCTCCAGGACACTTTTTTCACCTGTTCCTTATTCTGGACAGTGAACCAGCTTGTTCCTTTACAATAACTCCACGCACCAAAGTTGTGCTACTTCAAAGTTGTGTCACCAGGTCTGTGCGGATATTTGTGAATGCAAATGTGGCTGGTCGCCTGTGCAAGGTGTTGCTGAACAGCTTCAGTGACATTCATTTCTAACGTCACCTCTTTGAACACTTCACTAACAGAAATCTGGTGAGTAAGAACATTCAAACAAAAGCAACTATTAAGTTATACTATAGTTAATATCAGTTAAAGTTTATCATTTTACTGAGAGAAAGAAAAATGCAATATTGAGGCCTTCCAAGGGGGGAGTGGGTATGCTGTCACTTTGTCAGTCATTTCTGAGACTGCCTGTTGCTTGGTTGGTTAGGGAAAATATGCTGCTGTTGCATTTTAGCTAGGACGAAAATGTCCCTGTTGTTTCTGCATAAATTTCAATTTGTGATACTCAAATAATAATTGGAATTTACCACAGATATGGAACCTGACAATAATTAATCACAATGCTAACTTTTCTACTTCAATCTTATATTTATTCATTTTTATTTTAAACAATATTTTGACAGGGATGCCCAGTTCAGCGAGGCTGGTCTGAATGGGACCCCGATGAAAAGAAAAAACAACACACACAACAAAATAAAGACAACAAATGGTACAACTAAGTATAACAAAGGTAAGGAAAGCTCATATAGGCTTGGATCTAAAATGACGTTTTAGGTCAAACGCAAACTTATTAATATGGTGCTCGCTCCTCAGGTCCAGAGAAAGTGCATTCCAGATCTTGGCTCCGTTGAACCTGAAGTAGCCCTAATACTTACTTGCCCTAGCTAGCGGCAGAAACTGACAGAAAATCTTCAGAAATAATGGAAGAGAGAACTTTGTTATTTTGCTGCCGAAACAGCCAAAATGCAAAAGTGAACAGACGTGGCTTTCACAACTTGANGGAAAATATGCTGCTGTTGCATTTTAGCTAGGACGAAAATGTCCCTGTTGTTTCTGCATAAATTTCAATTTGTGATACTCAAATAATAATTGGAATTTACCACAGATATGGAACCTGACAATAATTAATCACAATGCTAACTTTTCTACTTCAATCTTATATTTATTCATTTTTATTTTAAACAATATTTTGACAGGGATGCCCAGTTCAGCGAGGCTGGTCTGAATGGGACCCCGATGAAAAGAAAAAACAACACACACAACAAAATAAAGACAACAAATGGTACAACTAAGTATAACAAAGGTAAGGAAAGCTCATATAGGCTTGGATCTAAAATGACGTTTTAGGTCAAACGCAAACTTATTAATATGGTGCTCGCTCCTCAGGTCCAGAGAAAGTGCATTCCAGATCTTGGCTCCGTTGAACCTGAAGTAGCCCTAATACTTACTTGCCCTAGCTAGCGGCAGAAACTGACAGAAAATCTTCAGAAATAATGGAAGAGAGAACTTTGTTATTTTGCTGCCGAAACAGCCAAAATGCAAAAGTGAACAGACGTGGCTTTCACAACTTGAAAATGGATTGTCGCTGTCACAATATTTTCCTCTTTTTCTGTTGATTGTCAGTGCTTTCTAAGAGGATTGTCACTATTTTTACCCATTGCAAGATCTCAACACTAGATATTAACCAAAATTTACCTCTGTAAATCCTATTCTGTTGAACAGCCTTAAACTTGCATCATTACTACAACCAATCTTTGCTTCATATTTTTGGATTCCTAAGGTGGTGTTACCTATAATGCCCAAAAGAGACAAGACACAATTAGACAAAACTGTCCAAAATAAAAATATTAATGCCAGTATTCAGCACATGCTTTCCTTTTTGGTTCTATAATAACAATTTATTATACAATCTAAGTGGTCTACTACCCATATTCAGATAGACAAGGCCATGAGGTTTATTAAATTTTTGAACGTGTCAAAATTCTCACAGTGGAACCCAGATGGTTTGAGAGGAGAGTCAAGGAAACATTATGTACATACATTCAGGCTTTCAACCTATCTTGAAGTGTAATGGAGGACACTCTTACCTCACCTGGCTGGCCAAGGTGCGAAACAATTTAATAGAAGTCTATATCAAAAGGCCCATCAGCAGACTACATACCTCATGATCAGTTGTTCCATCATCCCCACTATTCAATGTTGGGATATAACAGGACAATTTACTAAATGGGCAAAACACTTAAGTGTTGTAAAACAATTGTACCAGCTAGAGGCAGGGGAAGGAAGGAAGAAAAAAAAGAGGTGAAGAAAGTGGTGGCCTTTCCAACAATTTTGATGGTGATTGTGGTTATTCCATTTATTTGCTACACTAATGGTATTTTTTCAACATACGGTACCATAATGCATCATAGTTAGCAGAGCTTCTTTTCCAAGGCCATTTCTTCGACAAGATGGTTCTATATTTAAAAAGAAATAATTATTACTCTGCTACTCATAGAATATAAATAATTTATCCACACCAGCAACAGGCAAACAAAAATATCACAGCCTACATGATGATGGTACTGTAAGGACCCAGCAAGAATCACCTAGACAACTTTATATCCTTTTATAGGTGGGTTGAGCATGGTTGTCTGGGTGAATGTAGACCTGCATAGGACTGTTATTGACAGGGACTGACATTTCGAGAACCCATACTCTCACTATACAAATGACTTATTGACGAACTCAAGCAAAACTAACTATGAGAGAACAACTGGACAACCAACAATTTGACTAACAGTAAAGAACTGTTAAATTGTGGCAACTATAGACAGGTCAAAATCATTGCACCAATGACATTTGAGTCTTCATAGCCAATAACATCACAGTTTAACTGACAGAGGACTAATAACATCACAACATTATTGATCAATCAGTTCAATAACCAGAGTTTAATACCATCAACTGACATTATACCAGTCACATTGACTCTGAAGATGACTACCACACGGATTGTCAAAACGTCAGTCACTGTCAACAACAGTCCTATTAAGGACTATGTTCACTCCGACGATCATGCTCAACCTACCTTATGAAATGACTCCTGGGTTGAAACCTTAAACAGTTCACATCTTTTACCTGCTATCATGATCTCTATCTCTGCCACATCCCGTCGACTGTCATCAAGGAAGAGGTTAACATCACCTGCCATGCACTCTTCAAACAAAAAAAATATCGTTTTGATAAATATCTTTATTTAATCATTACCAATTTCACTTGACCCATAGTCCTAGGGGATACTCCCTTATATGACCTATACATCGATGTGCCCCTGGACAGTGTCTGGTTTTCATCCTTTCTGTCCTAAACAGGGTATATAATTTTGCTCAAGCCTGTGCTAAACAGCTAGTGTACATGTATGTATTTTAGGAATTTTTTTGTCCTAAACATAGTCGGGGTTTCAAACCCTCAGCAGCTCACCTCTACCCAAATATTGGTCAAGTACCCCCCCCCCCCGGGGGGGGGGGCATGCTAAGTACATGTAGTATGGAAATTTTTTTGGCATTCATCCTCAAAAAAGTTTTTAAAAAAATTTTTCAACATTGTNGCAAATTGAAAATGACTTAGAATATTTGTAGTTCTGTTTCTTTAACGATATGTATTTTTGGTTACTTGGTTTTTATTGCATAATTTTAGTTTGACGGCCACTAGTTATTCAGTTGAAGTACTGTCCCGTGTTACCCTTGTTAAATAAAGTTGATTATTATTATTATTATTATTATCATTATTATTATTATTATTATTATTAATGCAGTTTTGTTAAACACTGGCTAAACTACGTTTAAGTTTTTGGCCCTTGATGTTTAACTAGATATACATCTCTTTGTTCTGCTGGAGCCGAGTTCAGGAGGACACATGATTTTAGTTTCCTGAGTCTGAGCAATATGCTACTTTCAATTGCTTTCAATAATTAGATAAAATTTTGAGGTTTAATTAATAGTTCCTTTTTCTTTAACCTCCTCCCTGGAGATAACAATTATGTTTTGCTTTAGTGTTTTAGAAGCTTTCCGGGAGATGATACATTCACAGAAAGGACAATGTATGGGTTTAGTTCTCAGCAGTCCGGCTTACTGTTTTCATCCTGAAACCAACTGTTTTGCATGTCATATTCTTGTTCTAATGTAAGCCTTTCAGATGCTGTTTGTTCCAGCAGCTCAGGAGATTGCATCCAGTCATGGTATCTACATAAGGATATTTAAAATTAATTTCAACAAAAAGAACAGAAGATGTTAAGGAAAAATAACAATTTTAAAAATGTATATAACGTGGCAAATTGTCTTTTCAGCTGATCTTCATTTCCACTTATTTGCTGCGCTGTTTGCAGTGGGCGTTTTTAAATAAGCTAAGAAGCTTACCCTATTTGTCCTTCACGCAGTTAAAACCATAAAAATTACTACAAGAATAAATTTACAAACCTTGGAACATGTTCTTTCCTGTAGGGGACTAACACAACCTTTTCCCCTTCCAAAACAGTTTTACTGTTGATTCGCATCCCCAGCAATGCAGGCAATGCGAACTTGAAGTTTCATGAAGTTTACATGAAGCAGTAATTTTAATCGTGACGTTCAAGGTCAAGTCACGCGCTAACCCGCCGGAAGTTAACTTTTTAAATGCTCCGGACGTCATATTCACACTGTTTTTAAAATCGCTTCTTACTTGTAAACAGTTTGGAATAGTTCAAAGCTAAAATGCCAGCTGAAACCGAAACTGGCTCCCTGTATTCTGCACCAGTAAGTATATTCAAGGCAGCTAAACGTTTCATCATTGTGGGGAATCTTTTGCGCAACATGTTTTTCCCATTAACGTTTTTCTTGCGAGACACGCGGAACTTTTTTTATTGCACTAGTATGTCTTCGTTTGACAGTTTTTCGCTTCTCCTGTTTAAGGAGTTGTTTTCCATTTATTTGAAGATGTAGTGTTTGCTTCTGTACGTAAGTTTCGGATACTGAAGAAAACGAATGGTGATTTTCGATTTCGATAGAATCGAAGCCAGCTACGTTCTTCTTCCCTGCCGGCCGCCAACGCAAAATTAAATGCTAGAACAGTCTGTACTTTTTTGTCCTTTGAAAAAATTTAACTTATAATTCTATTTTCTTTTATTTGCAACCAGGTCGCCTTTGTATATATTTTCAATCTAATCATTGGAGTTGGAGCTTTGACAATGCCCAAAGCTTTTGCAAGTGCTGGTTGGGTTATTGCGGTTGTCCTCACTGGCGTTTTGTGTTTGATGAGGTTAGTTTTCCTTAACTTGGTTTTACTTCAACAAACATACATGTTTGTAGGTGTAAGGTTATTGAGAAAATAATATGTTTGCTGTTATAATCACTCATTTCAATTAGTATCTGGAGCACTAATGCCGGTATAATTTTGAGCATAATAATAAGATAAGTATATTTAAGCTTTAAAATCAGATGTTGTCAAATTAAAATTGAAGTTTTGGAAAAATGCACTTTCGTGTTTTTCTTTAAAATGTACAGCTGTAAGTAAGGCTGTATGTAGGAGTGTTTATTTAGTAGGTGCAGGAGGGAAAAGTTCCGTAGCAGTCTGGCATTTTTTATTAGTAGGAACATAATAACTCCAGCAGAGCATAATTTTGAGCATACGTAATACCCTCTGGTTTCTTGAGTGATCCAAAGCAACATTAAAATACCAGGCTACTCAATTTTATGAGCAAAATCCATAAGACCCTAATTCCAAGAGATAAAATTTATTGTGACTTTCATGTGACACAGGGACCAATTAGAGGGGGAGGGGCTGCCTTTACCTCTTTTTTTGCTTGGGATGATTTTCTTTTAGGACAAAAATTTTACAACTTGGATGACAAAGTAATATTAAGTGCATCTACTTTTGCACATGCACTTCCCAAAGTCAAAGTTAACCCTCCAGTTCCAAGAGTGAACAATATCAGTTTTCTCCAAATAATATCAATACATAATCAAGTAAGGTTATTAAATGAGAATTTATGAAATGATCACCACAGGAAAAATACTTTAATGTGTTATCAAATTATCTCACCTAATTCTTTACGTTGATGTATGGTGACTAGTGTGGAGAATTTGTATCTGGATATATATATTTAGGCTTAAAGGGTTAAGGGTGGGCAAAGCTATACATGTACAGTGTATGCAGTGGCAGCTTAATTCTCACAGGCTTTCATCTGACTTGTTTATGAGTTATAGTGATGCATACCAATATTGAAGATGGCTCTGCTATGTTTATTGGGGTGTTATGAATGGCACACAAATGCATTATGGCAGAACAGTGACTGCAAATGCCTGTTTTTTGTCAACCTGAGTCTTTAGCCCTTCACCTTTTTAGTCCCAAGAACAACATACAAATTCTCCATATTCTTCTCCATACCTTTCCTTGAAGAACTACTAAAGACGAATTGTAGAAAGATCGAAGCACTTTCACTTAGGTGATCAGTTTATTTACTCTCATAACCTTTTTTCTTGATCATGTTGTGATATGGTTAGGAGAAAATTGGTGTTGGTCACTCTTGGGACTTAACCACTAGGTCTCAACAAAAGTGACTAAATATGTCTTTCTAAATTTATATATAAATTTCATGTGAATCACATGTGATACACCATATATAGAACCTTTTCTTTATTGTAAAATATTAACATCCTGAGGCGGCTCTAAGATATTAAACAGCAAACATTCCCCACCTTTTAGTCATGGAAAAGTAACTCTCCCAGTATTCCTATGTGAAAATTCCTAAGTAATAATCCTTTATGCTTTAAACTTCTCATCAGTGCTGTAGGTTGTAAACATCTAAAATTAGAGGCCAAAAATCCCTCAAATTCAGTTTTACAAATTCATGTTGCCAGACGTATAGGGGTTTTCTTGCATTTGCCTTCTTTGCACCCTATCATTTAAGATGTTTCTGTAAGCATCCATTTGATATTAAATATATTATCTGCTTTTTTAATTAGATGTACCTATTTCATTCAATTTTTTAAAGTGGCCATTACAATGATTTGGTGACTGGTAGGGTTGATTTGCTCCTCGAAATTTTGCCAAAAAATACCTTTGAAAGCTAGCTATAGTGAGCCATTTTCTGGTAACAGTAAAAAAAAAAAGAACAAATTGCCCAAGACAACCATTAACCATAAGTTGAGAACTTTGAGGCCTTCTCTTGTAGATGCTAAATCAGTGCTAAATATTGGCTTCCAAAGAAAGCAAAATCTTTTATTTACTTTTCTTGCCATGTTTTTTTCTTTTGTTGGGCATGGGAAAAGTTTTGGGGAAAGGTTAGGATTGATTGATTAGATGGAAGGAGGTACACCCACGTAGTGGACCAAGATTTTCATTGGAATTTTTGGGTCATTTTTTAATGGTTTTTCACATTTTTCTCTAGTCTCCTTGATGAATCATGCTCATGCTGACATGGTTTTGATATCTCTTCTCCCTGCACTAGTTACAGCTGTAGCTGATGACAAAGTAATTTGTCCTTGTGGCTGTTAAAAGCTGATGACATCACAAATGGTACATTAGGGATGTCAATCTGCACGCTCCCCCCAGGTGTTTATGGGCGGTTCAGGGTTGAACTTAATTGGTTCAAAACATCAAGTGAAGGAAAACTGGGGTTGAATCAGTCACTGCGTTTGATTTTCACAGGGGAGAAGTCAAGTTTGGTTTGAATTACAGGGAATAAAAAAATAGTGTTTTAGAAGTTAGGCTGATTCTGCTGGATTTTTGTAGGGGAAATTACAACCAATTTAAGGTTTTAATTATATGGACTGTTGCTCATTTTAGCTAAACTTCTGCTTTTTTTTTCCTTTTCAGTTTTATAACAGCCACTTTTATGATTGAGGCAATGGCTGCTGCTAATGCTTTTTTAAGACTAAAAACTGAAGACAAGAGTTTATCAGTGAGTATCTTATATGTGCAATAGTTGTTGTGTGATTACCCACGTAAAATGCATACATGACACCCTAAAGAACAACGCTTACACTGTAAGAAAAAATTTATGGGGGAGTTCAAACAAATAGTGTATTAATATGCATAGCCATGGGCAATATGAAATGGCAAATGCGTGGGCATTAGCCGAGGGTGAAAGAGAGAGGTGGAGAGGTGAATGGGTGAGGTGGGAAGAAGGAGGGCGGGTTTTGTATTCAGTGGAACCTCTATTCAGGGAACACCCTCAGGGACCAAGAGAAGTGTTCCCTGAACAGATCAGAGGTGTCACTTGAATGGTGGTTGAGCTGGGGTTATTTAATAATAAATATTAACCAAAAAATAAAGTATTTTCTTTTATTTTGCCTCAGAAGCTGCTGCTGTCAAGCAGCTTATAGATAATGCATGTTGTAGTTAATATTTTACATGTGTATCCCAGGAAATTTTTATGTTTGCTTTGTTTCAAATTCATTAGCATACATTATCATAGCCCAAAACAAAGGGAAAGTAAAAATTTCCTGAGATAAAAAATTAACTACAACATGTATAAAAAATCATGATTCACCTACAGCTGTACATGTATCTCAGCCTGTTATGTTGTGTTAAATTTCCACAAGTGCAGTACATCGATTTCAGTGAAATAGATCAATTTTTCTGAAAGCTGTCGCCATTTTGACTTACATGTACTGATGAACACTTTAACTTATCAGTGATGTTTGTGGTCACTTATTGAGTGCTAGGGTGTCCCCTGAATGGAGGTTAAACCCATGTTTCAAGTCCCAGAAAAAGTGTCCCTTAATTTCCCCTGAAATAGAGGATATATGTGTCCCTTCCATAGAGGTAACAAATACAAAGATTTTGTTAACATTTTTCCGGCGCCAAAATTTGTGTCCCCTGAATGGAGGTACTGTCCCTTGAATAGTCTAGGACTATCCCAAGGGAGAGGTTCCAGTGTATTGCTCTTTTGAAGCAAATTCAAAGGTGGATCAATACACCATTAATTAGCTTAATTTTTCTGTTATGGTTTACTCCTGTAAACCTCTTTATGGTTGTAAAATCTCACTTGAAGTTTTTAATTTCTTCATTTTATGTGGCAGCTAGATGTCTGCAATGATGCCTGTTTTGTAAATACCTTGATGTTTAACTGCTGGCATTGTCTTTTTTGTATCATTTTGTAGATTCCCCCACAAACTTTATCCAACTCAGAAGAAGATCAACCACTACTAATCAGTAAGTCTAACTAGATGGCGCTTTCCTGAGTTGAATACTTTTTATTCTTTTCACAGCTGATTCAATCTCTGACATACCAGTAAGCTTTGAAGCCTACATTTTGTTACAAGTCTTTCAGAACTTTCCAAAGCTATTGAATTATTGGGTCTTTTGAAAAGTGTTCAGCCTGTGTTCAGAAGTGTTCTTGTCATACAAATACATCAGTATTATTTATTGTTATTTATTTTCTTTAAGATAATGTGAATGAGGATCAAGCTCCTGGCTTATATGATATAACAAGAAAGGTAGAGATGGTAAGTGGAATTAATATTATTTTAGTTATTTATTTATTTATGATTAAGGACATTTCCTAAGGTCTGGCTAATTGACTAAATTGAATGGTGTGGCTCCCAAAAGAAAATAATAATTTCTTTCAAATGATACTACACTTGAAGCTTCCATAAAAGGGATACTCTGAGGAAACTGAAAAAGTGCTAGCAATGACAAAATTTGGAAGATGTTTGTTATTATTTCATCATTGATGTTAGTTGATCACTGGCATCAAGGATGGAACAAATAACGTGATTATCCATTAATGATNATACTACACTTGAAGCTTCCATAAAAGGGATACTCTGAGGAAACTGAAAAAGTGCTAGCAATGACAAAATTTGGAAGATGTTTGTTATTATTTCATCATTGATGTTAGTTGATCACTGGCATCAAGGATGGAACAAATAACGTGATTATCCATTAATGATGTTAAAACAGCACCCTGCAGCAGCTTAAGATTATTAGCTGTTGTATGTGGCAGTACAGAACTCAAGAAAATGCAGAAAATGTTAAAGCTGGAGGAAAGAATAGCTGCATTTAATACTGACCTAAAAATAGGAAGAATCTGCAAAATTTTCCGGGATGGATGTTACACAGTACAGTGTATCTGCTTTTTGAGGAATACCCGGCCTTCAGCCTAGGTGGATACTGAACATCTTCCTCAATCTGTTTACCACCAATTCTTAATCATGCTGTATTCTGTGACTTCACTCAAGTCAATGTCATAATATACCTTGATGCTTGTCTGCAGGGTCAGATGGCTGATCTCTTTTTCAGTAAAAGTAAGTTGTCTTCAGTTGTACCTTTTGCTGTTTTTACTCAACAAAAATTTATTAAACCAGGGTACATTGTATCACTTGTACAGAGATACTGTCATACTGTGGTGGGTTTGTATAAAACAGGTGTCTGTGAGCTAGCAAAACTGCTATATTCCACTCTAGTAAGAATGAGCTGTTTAAGTTTTCAGTGAAAAAAAGATAGTTAAATGTACACGAAAAAAGGAACGCAACTGACTAGAGGTGTTAGTGCAGAATGCTGCATGGGGTTTTTCTGTGATATTCATTACCTATTCCAATGAAAATCACAGAAAAACCCTTGCAGCATTCTGCATTTGCCTTGTGCAATAACTGGAATCAAAGGGAGATTTGAGGCCTTATAATTATTTAAATCCTCTTTAAAAGAGCAATATATTCGACTCTGAGGAATAAGCTGTGTCATTTGAAGAGATCCTTGGAATAAGGCCCTGAATCTTCCTTTAATTCCAGTTATTGCACAAGGCAAATTGGAAGAACAACTGGATTCCAGGCAGCTTTTCATTTGATAGTCACAGGGTTTATTTAAGAGCACGGCCTTGCGGGATTTCCGCAATTTGGAAAAAATTTAAGTTGCTGGGTCAAATGGGGTACAAAAAAATAGACCCAAGGATAAGTTAAGTACTATTTTTTTTTTTTAAATAAAGTATTCGAAAACATCACTGACTACAACACTGATTTGACGGCCGCTCTATAAACTTACTTTGAACTTTTATAGCCTCTTACCGTAACAGTTGCCTTTCTTTTCTGGACTTTTCTTCTTTTGAGTCATTATTTCTCCAGACAAACATCCGGGATTCTGCAGTATAATTCGAGCCGAGGCTTTCTCAGTTGGCCAAAATGTTCCAAAATGGCTGCAAAGCGTCCGGCGAGTCCGACCCATGTAGAATGTCAAAGGTCTCAAAAAGCACTCAGTGTATTTGGATTTGGTGCCCCCTTTCTTGAAAAAGGGCCCCGTAAAATTACAGAAGGGGGCCCATTTGACCCTCATTGGCCAATTGCTAGAATAAACCGTGCAGGCAGAACGTCTGACCTGATGAGTTTGGAAGTCCGCGGGTCTCCTGTGGGCGAGGGCCATAAGCGTAATTGTGCCCAGTCTCCATACACTTTTTCATTTAGACTGAGACTGAGGATGAATCAATAGGCCATTTCCGAGTTTTCTGAGTTCCAAAAGCTTTCACTTTCAAAACGAGGGTAATGGCATGGAAAACCTTTCTTTTAAAAATGAGATTTATTTGCGTGACAATGAAAAATCATTTTTATATTAATAGTTTCGCACTTAGCTTAGCTTTGAAACAGAGGCTTGGAGCAACTCGGAAACAGCCAACTTGACAGTATTTAATTGGCTTAACACAGACGGTAATTACACTAAATTTCAATGATGCATTGATTGTTGTTGTTGTTTTCCCAGTTGGTGTTCGCCTTTTTTACTTCTGTATTGCTCTGTACCTTTATGGTGACTTGGCAATTTATGCTGCAGCAGTTCCAAAGTCCCTCACACAAATTGCTTGGTAAGTTTTCTGGTACGCCGTGAAGACAATGCGCCCTTTTTACATGTAGGAGGCAGCTTTTGGTCATTTTGAAACATACGCACAGGCACGTAAAACAGTGGACTGTCGGTAGGGCGCCTAAAAACGCGCGCATGTTTACCTCGCAGAGATTCGAAGCCCGCCTTAGTGCCCGTGTACAAAGTGTCGAATTTGTAATCAGCCGTGTACTACTTCTGTTTTGCAGTGGATCGCTATCTGGAAATGAAACGTCTTTCTCTGCCTCTAAACCCTGTTGGAATTCTGTTACCGAAATGAATGTTTATCGAGTATTCTTAGTAAGTAACCTTATGGTTTTTTCTTTTGTTTTGTTTAAGGCCATCCCCCTTTCTTTCTTTTATTGTCGAATGCGTTTCCTGATTTTGGGTCGGTCGGTCGGATGAAAAAATAAGTAAAAAAAATCACAAGAAGTCTGAGAATAGGATGCCTGAAACCCCAGAATCATGGACCATTCCATTTAATAGCCACCCCCCCCCCCCTCCCCACCCCGTGGATAAAGTGAGTTGACTTTTACCCACCCTAAGAAAACAAGATCAAAAGTAACGACACAGCAGCCCCCCTTTAGAAATACAAAACAAATAAAAAGGGATTTTTTTCTCATACCCCTCAGAAATTTTCTAGAGATCAAAGGGTGCCGAGACAGCCACCCCTTTGGAAATAACTTTCAAATACCCCCTCGGAAAATCTCATCCATAGGGGAGGGGGGAGGCGAATATTAAATGAAATGGCCCCATTGCCATGGAGACTGAAAACAACAAGGCATGGTCACCAAATCGACACAAACTCACTATGGCGGAAAATTATGATGGTCGATGTCATAGTAAAAGCAAAACGGATACACCACCGAAACTTCTATGCGTGAAAAGGTCATTACAATGCTCATTTTCAGATTAAAAGAATTAGTTCAAGTCAAAAAAGGTTCAACTACGTCGTCCTTTTTTTTGGAAATGGCTAAAATTTGGGTTGGTTAGACTGAGAAAAGAATAGGGGATGGCCTAACACAAATGGCTTGTGTATGCCCATTTTCATTTTTCAGTGGCTGTGTGATTTTTATCTTGCCTTCAGATTTACATCGTTCAATGAAATTGAAAAATATGATTTCCCACCATCTTTCGAACACCTTACGTCTAGGTGAAAACCGATAGTTTTGGTTCTGAGAAGTTACAGCTAAAATTTCCGAAAAAAATAGATTCTTTGCTGATTACGGTCATTCAGAAATGAAGCTGATACACTTTATCGCGTATCACTAAAGGAAATAGTTGGCTTGAGTAGTTTCTCTAACTTTACCTTCTCTGTAATCTTTGTAAAACGTGTCGCCTTCGTTTGCAACCAAGTCGTGCTACTGCCGTGCTACGCGGCAGTAGCTCGGCTTGGTTTTAAACGTCGTGCTACTGCCGTGCCGAACTCAATTCATAAATTTTGAATACATTAGAATACATTTAATAGTTTGTTAAATCGTTTCCTTATTTTTGTGTTTTGTTTCCGGCAATAGCCGTTCTATTCCACTGAATTAAATTCGACGTCTGAAGCCAAGTCGTGCTAGTGTCGTGCTGCAGTCGAGCCAGCTTAGCACGGTAGTAAGCACGACGTTTGAAACAGGCCTTACTTTGTTGTTGTTGTTGTTGTTGTTGTTGTTGTACTAACTTGGGGTGCTCACCATTAACGCAAACAACCCAAGAGGAAATCTTGTGCATAAAACTAAAAAAATTGACGTGGTAGGAGAACGACCCATTACAAAGTATATCCAAAACTGCTAAACAAACTGAAAAGTGAAGAAAAATTGCATCGCCTCAAAATACAGCCCAAATATACTGTAGAAGCCTAACCCTTATCTTTTGTTCTTTACAGGCGATTTTTGCGGTCACGTTAGGACCATTTACCTTCTTCAATGTTCAAAAGACAAAATACCTGCAGATTTTTACTTCCTTTATGAGATGGATGGGTAAGTAACACTCGGTCAATTGTAATCCTAGTAATGAGTGTACATAGTATTTTTTAAGTTTCTTTTTAAGTTTCTTTTCGCGCGGGTCACTATAAAGACTTGACAGAATCCAGCGGAAACCGCGCTAGAAAAGTCTCTGGCACCCAGGGTAATGGGTGGGCAAAACTGGAGAAGATTAAAGCGGATTACATTCGGGTAAACTTGAAAAAATATCGGGCCGGGTGGCGTTTTCACCGTCCTTTTAATTTGCGCGAAAAATTGATGTATAATTCTTTGAAAACATTTTTTTTTTTTTTTGTGGGTGCTATTTTGACAATAATAGCCCTTTGTTTTCCCTATGGCCAATTTGCACTATGACGTCTTTTTACTTCATTTCGTTCTTTCTTTCATGTTTAAATTTGGTAATCCCAGTGAGGTTTAAATAAGAAAAGCCTTAATTATCACTTAGCGGTAGCCGTTAGACAGAATGTATGAGAACCGCTCAAATTGGGCCTGATCTCAGGTTAGAAAGCAGTACCCTGAAGGATTCGGCTGGTAATAGCCTATTTTGTAGTTAAGCTAACCAAGGCCTTGCTCTTTTAATTGTGACTCCGCCTTAGCAAAATCATAGCTGATCAACATCTTTTCATTTCCACAGCCTTTATCATGATGATTGTCCTTGCTATTATGAGGATCGTCAAATACAAACCCCGGCACAACACACCAGCCGCTGACTTCTCGGGGCTTCCTAATCTGTTTGGTGTCTGTGTGTATTCGTACATGTGCCAGCACTCCATTCCTTCCCTGATAACACCATTGAAAAACAAGTCACGCATCACACAGCTATTTTTCGCCGACTTCGCTATTGTCTTGGTTTTTTACTCTCTTTTATCATTCACGGCTATCTTTGCTTTCCGAGTGGAAGAACTTAAAGATCTCTACACGTTGAACTTCTGGGGAAATAGTGGAAAATTCGCAGGATACTTTCTCGCGCTCTTTCCCGTCTTCACTCTGAGCACAAATTTTCCAATTATCTCCATAACTCTCCGCGACAATTTAAAGAATCTCTTCTATCGCGAGGGAAGCCCATACCCCTGGGTGGTGGACCGGATCGTATTCCCCCTTGTTACAATTACCCTACCGATTGCAGTGGCGTTCATCACCCAGAACTTGGAAATTCTCGTAGGGGTTACGGGTTCATACGCCGGGGCGGGGGTTCAATATGTAATCCCTGCCTGTCTAGCTTACTTTGGGAGGAAAAAGATAATAGAGCTAACGGGTTACTATGACAACAAGCACACGTCACCATTTGGAAGTCGTTGGTGGATCATGTTCGTGATTGGATGGGCGGTTGTCTGCATAGCCTTTGTGACGGCAAATCATATAATTACAAGAAAATAATGATCATATGAATGAATAAGAATATTAATTAGCCTCCATTTTTGCAATTATACATTTTCAAGAAATAATTCAGTGAAGTGAGACGTAATTCGTTTCAACATTAAAGTATTTGGAATATGAGAAACAACTGATAGCTGGGTATATTTTAGAGAAATAAAATTGTATTTTGGTGGAAATTAGCACTCCTTCGTTTCTCTAAAATATTATGTACACAACACTTATTCGCCCAAACAAACAGACACGTTTATTTTGTTGGCTGGTGAGCTCCTTTACAACTTGTCTAACATTTTCTACAAATTCATTGATATATTAAAAACTTTCTATCAACAAATGCAATACATACATTTGGCTGCGAAACGTGAACGCTATAAATTACATCATTCCTACAACTTTTAGTTGCATTTCATTACCAGAAAATATACGCGCATTTTGGTCTTGTGTATTCAGTTCACTGGTATGAATCCACAAGTTGTTTGGTTTTTAATTTTGCCGGCATATAAGTAAATTAAATCTGCTAAGTAAAAGTGTTCATCCAGGTTACCTCAACCACGCCACGGCAACGGAAACGGTAACTCCAAAAAAGAGCAATTAGTTTGATAAGCAAAACAACAACTCTCCACGTGCAGCACAAGTTTTTGTAGATTTCTTTGTTGTCACTGCATGACTAAAACGTGGAACTTTCTAATGTGACGTATTAAAGATGACAATTTTTTATATTTCAGTTAAACTTTGATGTTCTCGCTTAATGTACTCGCCCAGGCAAACTGTCATGTTTGCAGAACTTACATTTGACCAATTGACCCAGTAGAAATAACCGCCATAACTTTTAAAAGACCGCGAATGCACATTGAGCTACGTGCAAACAGACGCAACAACTCCCAACAATGTTTGGAATTGTTGCGACCGTTGGCACGTGGCTAAAAGTTTGACAGATTTCAAACTTTGCACAAGAACTCCCAACAACATACAACAGAGTGTGCAAACGGCAAAATGTAACATCCAACGATGTTGGCTCCGTTTACACGGGGCTTAATAAATGACGTCTCCGTTTCCGTCGCCCTGGTTGCTTGAACTCCCTACATGACGTGAGCAAGATCGCTGGGTAACCACTCAGTAGGTGTAATTTTAGGGGATAGTACGAAGGTATTTTAACGATATATACTGCACACTCCCTTTTTAAGGTGGCTCGATCGGCGTTTTTTAGGGCAATATATCCCAAGTTTAAGCATAAACTACGTCGCCATTAACAAAGATTTGGAAAAATTTGCTCCACAGCTGCATTAGATAAAGATAAAAATTTGTTATGATCAGGGTTGCAATGACATCAGAGTTGTCATGGCAACGAAATGACGCCATTATCTATTTCATCTCGGTATTGAGAACCGTTCTTCCAAATCGTTCACGGGAGCCTTTTCTATCAATAACCGCCTCGATGTTCGTGAAGTTTAAGCAAAATCTATGGGAGCGGCATCAAGATATTTTTGGATGGAGTTTTTATGGTTAGAAATACGGTAAAAACTGGACAATCTTGATGTTCGGCTGTTATCTGTGGAAAACGAAGCGCTTTTGAAATGCAATTTTCATCTTTGTCTAATAAAGTTGTGGTGGTAATTTTTCCGAATCCTTGTTAATGGCGACGTAGTTTATGCTCAAACTTGGGAGATATTGACTCTGAAAAACCCTATCGAGCCACCTTAAAACTATAAATATACTTCGTGCAATATTTATACAGTCTGTACTGTGTACAGGACACGCATATCTACACACACTCTTGATGGTGGAATATATTGAAATAAATACATGGTTGCAGTTATAGAATAATGCGAAAAGAAAAAGGTGAATGAAATACAGTAAAAACCTGCGACTAAGAACCTGCATTCTCCCAATTTAGCCTAACAAGGTTCTAACATAAATGGTAATATACACAAATGTAGGCTATTTGAGTTCGTTAATAGGTTCTTATTTTCTGAGGAAACAAAAATACATTGTAGGTAAAATCCAACTAGTGGCCAGTCTATTATCAATGCTGCGTTCTGATTGGTTGAGCTACTACTAGACTATATGTTATAGCCCACTAGTAGCGAAAAGCCTGGGCTTTTTGGCGGCAAAAAAGTTAAAAGTCTGTTTCAAATTTTTGGCTAAACAGGTTCTTGTATAGAGGGGGTCTAACTGGCAAATTTTAGCCCAACAGGTTCTTAAAAACATTAGTCGCGGGTTTTTACTGTAGTGGAGTAAGTGCCTTCTCATGATCTCAGGGACTGGCATCAACAACGCGGGTCCGAGACGGAAACGCAAACCAAACCCTGCAGGCTAATATTCAAGAATTACTAGAAGTAACTTGTCAAATTCTTTGTTATAGTACTTACTGCACTTTTATGTTACATCTGCAACCCAAGCTAATTCTAGTTTCCCCTTCCTCTTTCGCCCAAACCCGCCTAATCAAAAGGGAAACCATGATTAAATATTTTGCACAAATAACTGAAACCCGTNTTGTTATAGTACTTACTGCACTTTTATGTTACATCTGCAACCCAAGCTAATTCTAGTTTCCCCTTCCTCTTTCGCCCAAACCCGCCTAATCAAAAGGGAAACCATGATTAAATATTTTGCACAAATAACTGAAACCCGTTTTAAAGTGCAATAGCCACGTGGTATTAAAGACAGAGGGTAAGCATCAAGTTTACAGCAGTGAGTGACTATTTTTCACATCAATTATTACGCTTGTCGTATATCACTACCTGTGTACAACGTGAAGACAATAAGCGCTTTCACGTTCGTGAAAAACTTGACAAAATACATTTAACCTATTCAGTGTCGTTTTCAGATACATTCGGTTGGCCATCTCTGTCTTTTGCCGTATACGTGATGTTTAACCTCCCAACTATCTGCTTGACTATCACGCGAAATGGAAAGGAAGAACGAACTATTGCCCCGTAAATATGGTACTGGAAAACTCTACATTAGAACATCTTGATGTTACCAACGTAGTTTGTGTCAAAATGGCGAAAAGGGTAATTCTTTAACGAACCTTTCTGTGTACTGCGTCAACAGAAAAGATCGAATACAAAACTTTGGTCTTGGAAAACCAACGGCATGCTCCTTTTTTGAGTCGAGGAACACGACTTGATAATAAATCAACTCATGGTAATACTCCAGTTAACCCCCCAAAAATCAGCATACACCTTACGTTGTCATAGAAAAAAGAAAAAAACCAAATATGAGTTAATTAGGCGAATGAACTATTTCACAAATTACAGAAACGAGTTTGTCATTCCAGAGATATGCTTGTTTTGAAGTTCGGTATCTGATGAATTACAGAAATGCGTCAACTGGTTACGACAAGCCAATTGACTCTTCTTTGGGTTTTCATTTTTTTAAGACAACATTAATACAGTTAGGTGTAATTTTGTAATTAAACTATTTGTTGCTCGAGAGGGATACATACTGTAGTTTAAATAGGCCGGAAAAATAACATAAATGACAACGAAAAACACCGAAAACTACACTGTTCCACGCGGGTTACTGGTGTCAATGGGCTAGTTTCGGATTATCAAAAATCACCCTTGACTCCGAGGCCGAGGTGGAAATAAAACAAAAGAAATGAATTATTCATTCCTGAATCTCAGTGCGATCCCCACAGCCTCGTAGCAGTGAATGAATTTTGAATAACTCGAAACTGGCCTAAAACAGCAGTTTTATCACGTTTCACCCTACTTTAACACTTCGCAACAAGATTAAGGAAGAACTCTATTTGTGCTTTTTAAGCGGGCATGCTTTGATGCTTAAGCTTTCAAAGAGGAAATGTAAAATATGTCTGTAAACACACGGAAGAACTTAACTTATTGAGACACACCATAAAGCGCCCCCCGGGCCCCTCATACACACACAAACACACTCCATTCTTCAGTTTCGTTCTTGATTTTACCTTTCCATTCAATAATTTATTCTTACTGTCACACAGTTCCTAATTTGCAGGTCAGCAATTTGCATCTGGAAGGGCGTTTTCACGGGTCTGCAAGAGGAAAGGGATAAAAATGATGATAATTAAAGTAGTTGCGTAGTGTTCTACTCATGGGTGAGTGAAAAGAAAGAAGCCTCAGTTAAAATATAGGTGACGCAAGTTTTACTGGGTCGGAAGCGCTTAAACCAGCTGACTAATATAACAAAATTTAAATGAAGATTTGATCGTCGCAGTGGTAATTGCAATTCAAGCAATTGCAAATTAACCCGAAAAAAATTTGGGGACTTCAACGGGATTCAAATCCATGGCCTTTGCGTTAGCGCTGCGGTGCTCTACCAGCTGAGCTATAAAGACCCACACATTGCATTTGGGAGTAGGCCAACTTGTTGAGTTCATCTTAACCCGCGAAAGGAATGAAACTTAGAATGAAGATGATGTGAACTGCGGAAATACAAATTTAAATGAAGATATGATCGTCGCAGTGGTAATTGCAATTTAAGCAGATGCAAATTAACACTACAAAAATTTCCGGACGTCAATGGGATTTTGAAAGAAATCAACTGCCAAAGGGAAACTCCTAGAAAAAATGATAACGTGGCTGAGAAATCAATTATGAAGGCAAAATGAGCGCGAAAAAATTGTTCCGAAAGTTTCAAATGAGAAATCTCAGTTGAACCAGTCCATCACGCCTTACTCAACTGACAATCACTGGAAGGTACTTTAAGCATCCACTGTTAGTTTCACGTTAGTCTACTCACTGATGTCGGAAGCGCCGTTCGTCGAAGAGAAATGATGCACGCTGAGAATTGCACCAACGTTTCACAAGAATTGCCATGATAAAAATACCACTGGAATAGGTTCCTCACAAGGCAGAAACATGACGAATTGAAAACAAAAAGGAAAATATGAAACGAAACTTACCGTAAGTGGGAGCGTATTTTCGTAGTTTGGGTTTTGAATGGATCTGACTTCGGGAAGAGGGCTATCTGGAGGACTAAAGATAGCAAATCCCCGTCAAAAAATCACATACTACTGATGAAAGGCAAGTCAGACGCAAACTCACAAGAAAGGCACAACGCCCATTAAAGTACTGAGAAAGAGTGATGTTTAAGAATACAATGGTGTGAACAGCGTGAAACGCGCCTAAATTACACAAAAATGTCGGGCTGGTCGAGAATGAGGGGTGCTCTTCATTCTAATGAGCTGGATCAGGTAAATGTAAAGATCTTGATCTTACCTTGCTTCTTCATCAGAGAATGGCTTCACCCTACAAGTGTAAATAAAATACAGTCATGATTAAAGTGTTAACGAAGAGATTTCCCGTGTTTTTAATACGAATACTTTCTTTATCTAATAGACCTCTTTATCTTGTAAGTTAAGTTTTCCCAATGTAGGTCTTGAACTAGTAGTAATCGTACATCACAAAGTGTGTTTAAAGTAAGAATAACTTTTGATTGGATGTAGACGAAAATGCCACAGAGTAAATTCGATGATATCTCCATGAGGAAAATTTATATCCGGGGACATTTTAAAGGGGCTATGTCAGCCCTAACGCATGCGCGAGCCGATGAAAACTCTCTGTGTGCGCAGAAGAGCTCTGAGTCGAGATTGACCAATAAGGCGAAATGTGTCACGCAAACATCAGTAAACAAGCTACATCATTCTTACATGAAACAAATTGTTTGCAAAGCCCAGCGAGTAGTAAAACGTCAACAAACAGTTCAGAACTCTGTTTTCTTTTTGGTTACCCACACCGGTCGGTTGGATTATCCATTTATCAACAATATATTAGGTGTTGCGCGGGTTAAGCTGTGAAGCGTGCTACAAGTGAGCTTTTTTCGTTGCCAAGCACGTAACCATGGTCTGCCTGTGATGTAATTCAAGATAACGCTAAAAAGGCAGGCGAATGACGAAAAGCCCAAACTTGTTAAAGGTTACCCTTAGTACCATACGATACCCAAGATTAGAAGTTGCACAATAGCCATTCACGTGCTTATTTAGGTAAAAAAAAGACAAAGGAAAAATTCCCGTGAGGGCACTACGTGACCTACTTTGAGAAAACAAAACATTCAAGCTAAGGGCCTCTTCATATGAGTCCGGTTGACCGGGTTGGCTCGGTTACCGGGATGAATTTTGCCTTGGGTTCATATGAGAAATTTCAGCCCGGTTTCCGAGATGAGAAAAGGTCAAAGATCCTGGGGACGAGTTCTGGCGCCAAATTTAGGAAAGTTAAGGCAAACATAGCGAAACACAAAAATTTTAACTTTCGGGCCTATCTTAGCATCGGTAACTCTTAAAGCTGTATCACTGCAGTTAAATGGGATACTTATGATGTGGAAAATACAGTAGGAAACGCAAGACGATGCCATCCGGACCGCCAGAATTCATCCCGCCGTTCATCCCGGTAACCGGGATGAAGTGTTCATATGGCAAAATTTCCAGCCCGCTTACCGAAAAAACCGAGATCTCGGGAACCGAGCCAGCCCGCCCTCTCATATGAACACATCGAAAATTTTACAAAGGATTTAGAGGTGAGGCGAGATCTCGGAAACCGGACCAGCCCGGTCAACTGGGCTCATATGAAGAGGCCCTAAGAGGTCTGTTATAAAACTGTCAAACTGAAAATCTTGTAAAGGAAACAATGTGCATCGCTAAGAATGCATCCATTTTGTTTTACGCCCTCTCTTCCTGGGGATCGAACCCGTGACCTTTCGTTCTACAGTCCAGCTCTCTACCGACTGACCTAACCATGCCAAAGCCTACAGAGTATTCACAGCCGGCTGCATGTTCAAGCGTGAATGATATTTTTCCGTTTACAACTGATGACTCATCTACCCAACAGTCTAAGTAGCGTGCTTGCCAACATTTCAATTAATTAACGGCCGTTCACAGGTAGACGGAAACCATTGATGAATGTTTGTCTGCGTTTACACGGTTTTAAAACTATTTACACTAATGCAGTCAGAACTGGGAGTACTCCAGCAACAAGGAATTGGAAGATCTACTAAAAATGTTAATTTTATCCTCGCTATACTACTAATGCATGTCATTTGTTGACAGTGACAAAACGAAGTAAGATTACTTCCTTAGCCGCTCTTCAAACCTTCGTCCATCAATTGGGGTGTCCAAAACACCCTGACATCCTGCATCCACTGGCACAATGTAATAAAACTAACAACTCTCTTCTTTAATCTGAGAATACTTACAGTTCATATCTTTGTGTAGCGGGTTTTGGACCACTGAATGGAGGAGCAACTCTGGAAACAAAACATGAAATAGAGATTACAAAAATAGAAACACAGCTACTCGAAATCCCAATTTGCCATTGTCCATATTCCATCATTTACTGCATTTGACTCAATAAAAGAAATAACTTGTTTATAGTTACAGCATCAATGGCATGTGAGTCAAAGTGACTTACAAAAATATCACTTATGCTCACTGAACTGTACGTCTCGCAACGTTAAGGGTCTGCAGAGTTCACGTTTACAAAAAATGTATCAGGAACGGAAGGGTGGAAAATACTAGGTGTGAAGTCTCAGCAGTTAGCGTAAGTTGGGATCTCCCATACGAAAATGAGCTTGATTTGCCATTAAATTACATATAAAAATATGGCATTTTTTAGTTTTATCCGTAATAATTAATAAACAAGGGCTCAAAGAGACTGAAGCTTACCTTTTGTAAAGAGGGTTTTCCGTCACTTTCGGTGAAGTTGGAGCCACAGGACAGCTACAATGTAAGATGAAATTAAACTGGTTAAATAACAAACCTCAACGTGCAGAATTAAGGTATACAAACTGGACAGGTCTAGGGAAAATTAGAAGGATCATCACGTGGCAATCATTGGACGAAGAAGAATATCCTGAGATTAAGTCAGTCCCTGTTAGCGTTCAAAACTTTGACTGCTTGGTCGGCACTCTATTCACTCGGTTACGAAGAGACTCATGGACAACAAAGCTCCTTACTAGGTAGATGTATGACACGCGTCCTGCATACCACAATGGATTAGCGATACCTAAAACGCACTGTGTGACGAACACAAAAAATGGTAACTTTTAAGCGTGGAAATGAATGAATACCTTGCATACGCTTTGACGTCTTCAGTCTCAAGATTGTTCGATTCACTGGCGTTATCAGCACTAGAAACATCAAAAAAGATAGTAATGGTAGTTATTATTTCAGCCGTCCACTGGTGAGAGTAAGTCTGCTTTTAAGACAAATGGCTCATCACGCTGGAGATTCACCCAGTTTCTTTAGCATGACGCGACAACGACTATTCTCATTACAGGTTTATACCAACCCCAACATCAATTCCGCATGTATCCATTTATAAACCTGGCTAGGGCGATCAGGCCCTGCGAGAGGAGAATAAAGTGTCTTGGCCAAGAACACAACACAGTGACCCTGGCAGGGCCTGAACACGGACCCCTTGATCCAAAGTCCGATGCAGTAACCATTTGGCTACCACGTCTGTAAGAGCACTGCCGTCTCCTGACATGCGGAGAACAAAAGACAAGGCTGTGCTCTAAGAAAACCCTTCAGGGAGAGCATAGCCTCTAAACCTCTGAAATACGAGTGGAAAGTGTAAAAGCTAGAGATTTCCTAAATGCCGAGAGGCAAAGGTTAGTCGCCATGAGCCAGCGCGTATTCCACTCACCATCATCATCATCAACAACAACCTAATCTTCGTCCTCCGCAAAAAAATTATCCTTGCGAGTATAAAAACTGGAGTGTAAGAGATGAATGAAAAATTACCTCAGGTACAAGATATTCATAGTTTCATAAGCATTTCCTTTTCTGCTTCCACTGTAATCTAGAGGACACCTGGATGGTGAACAAGGGGAAAAAAAGTTAGTGAAAGTTAGAAAACAGCCTTAAGAGAAACAATCAGCAAGGGAGATACTCGTTAATTTTCACGTATTGTTGATTACTGAGTACCGTACAAAAATAAGTATTTTTTTTTTTTGCGCCATTCATCCCTTAGAATTATTTGGCAAAGTAATTGTCTGCTTATTTTAAGCAGTTGTGTAGGAGCTGCTCGTAAGCTCTCTCCTGATTGGTCGCAGAAAACAATGACATGTCATTCTTTCAATTGTTTGAGTATTGTTTGGGGTCAGGGTTACATTTTAAGACTGTCAAACGTAATCTTACGTTTACCGTAAATGTAGTTCTATATCTCTCCACTGAATCCATCAGTTACTTTCTACTCTTTAGTCAATGCGGGCATGAACTTTATCTTGCCGTACCATGTTTTCCCTCTCATTTTTAGACAGCATTTTTACCCTGATAAGTTTAGTGAATGCGTTGACCAAGCATTCAAAATTCTGAACTATCAATCTTGAAGAATTTACAATCTGCAGACTTGAATTGAAAGTTGCAGCTAATACCGTCAACCCAATGTGAATCTACCTCTACAGCATACCCTTCAAACTGAACTTTTCATAATTCTAGTATCTCAGTAAATTCAATCGATTTCCCCCTAACGAAAGAATTTCAACCAACCTGTTCGCTGTAGTATTATTTGGTAAGCAATATTCCCTGTCCGGACTGTATGGCGTTTTTGCATTATTGTCTGGTAAGCAGTATTCCCTATTGTCAGCAGGGCTGCATATCACTGCCTTCCCTGTATTTGGCAAGCAATATTCCCTCTCTGGACTGTATGACACTATTTGCATATGACTTCCTTTTCCTTTATTTTTCCTGCAGGTTTATAAAATTAATGTCTTCATTAAGATAATGTCATCAACACTGCATGTCGCAGCTCAGCTGTTCTTCATTTCCTAAAAACGTCTGTGCCTATCAGTGGTGCTTAAGCAACATGAACAAAAAATGGTCTGGTTTAGAATTGTGGGCATGAAAATGTGTGACAATTTAACATGAAATTGGGTGGAAAGTTACCAGTGACTGGGTAGCAAAAAGGACTGCTGAAAAAAACTAAGAACAATAATAAGAATGCATTGTCTCAAATGAGAGCCAAAGTTTTAGCCAGAACGGGTCTGAATTTCCCCTAGACACCAGTTTTTGGAGAAAATGGTTATTTAACATCTTTTGTTTAGAATGGCTAGCAAGAGAGTAGATGTGCACATACAGAATTTATCAGCTTAACTCTTGATGAAAGCTGAAGTTCATTTTCACAAGGCACAAAACAATTTCTTTTCCATTCAGAATTTCTGCATTCCTATTCATGCAAGTGAATGTAGAAACATAAATGATTTGTTTGTAGTGGAAGTGCACTTATATTAGCTGCTGGACGCTATTTTCAGGCACTCCACTCAAACAATTCCAAGTAAATAATACATAAATAGGACAAAAACCCAACTGGCAGTANCCTGTATTTGGCAAGCAATATTCCCTCTCTGGACTGTATGACACTATTTGCATATGACTTCCTTTTCCTTTATTTTTCCTGCAGGTTTATAAAATTAATGTCTTCATTAAGATAATGTCATCAACACTGCATGTCGCAGCTCAGCTGTTCTTCATTTCCTAAAAACGTCTGTGCCTATCAGTGGTGCTTAAGCAACATGAACAAAAAATGGTCTGGTTTAGAATTGTGGGCATGAAAATGTGTGACAATTTAACATGAAATTGGGTGGAAAGTTACCAGTGACTGGGTAGCAAAAAGGACTGCTGAAAAAAACTAAGAACAATAATAAGAATGCATTGTCTCAAATGAGAGCCAAAGTTTTAGCCAGAACGGGTCTGAATTTCCCCTAGACACCAGTTTTTGGAGAAAATGGTTATTTAACATCTTTTGTTTAGAATGGCTAGCAAGAGAGTAGATGTGCACATACAGAATTTATCAGCTTAACTCTTGATGAAAGCTGAAGTTCATTTTCACAAGGCACAAAACAATTTCTTTTCCATTCAGAATTTCTGCATTCCTATTCATGCAAGTGAATGTAGAAACATAAATGATTTGTTTGTAGTGGAAGTGCACTTATATTAGCTGCTGGACGCTATTTTCAGGCACTCCACTCAAACAATTCCAAGTAAATAATACATAAATAGGACAAAAACCCAACTGGCAGTAACTGGCAAAGAACTGGCTGTTAAATTACAATCACGCCCAAGGATTTGAAGCAGCTAAAAAATGAAGTGAGTGTGGGTCAAGAGCTGGGCATGAAACTGAGACTACCACACTGCAAGTCCAATGCAATGACCACACTCAGCCATTCAGACTGAATATAAAAACTCATCTTCTCATTTCTCTTACCTTTTCTTGTGAACAAGGCAAAGGAGAATCAGGATTGTAACAACAATCACTGCAATCACTACCACAATAATGGCAACCAATCTTCCAGACGACATTCCACCTCCCATCTGAGCCTCCTTTCCAACCACCAGTGGAGAAGATGTCGTACGTTTTGTTGTAGGAGGAATATCAGTGCTAACAGAAAAGACTGCTTGTGATGGAGGGATTGTGGTTGTAATGTCTGTTGATGAAACAGGGGTTGAAGAGCTGGTATAATCACCTATCAATGATTGTGATGGTATGGGGGGACTAGTGGTAGAAGGTGTGGTCGTTGATGGTGCTTTAGTGGTTGGTTGTGTTGGTGGAGGTGTCGGCGCTCGTGCTAGTAAGAGAAAATAAATGACAAAAAAGTATGATTAACCTTGTGTTGTGTTGAAGTGATGGGGCTCAGTATTGCTACTAAGTAAATTTAGGGCACTCACCATTAACCAGAAATGGCTGGCCAAAACCAGTTCACTCATAAAGAGAATAAGACAAAAGGCAGTGAAAGGATTGCATGTACTAAAAAAAACACTCCAACCAAAAAAGCCTGTTTCATTTTCAAAAGACCGCTGTGACCACTCAGCCAGTTTTGACAATTAACAAGTGCCCTAAGACAATTACTTCTTATCAATGAAAACCCTGTTTGTTACAAACAAATTTGTGAAAACTTTCAGACAATATTGTTCTCTGCGACTGGTTATATTAATGGCGTGGCCATGGTGGGATAACATTATGAAACAAAGCCTTTCCGAACTGTTGATGACAAAAATAATTAACACTTTCAAAACGTAATTGGGAATGCACTTCGTACAACTTTTAATAATGTTTGAAGCTCGCTACATCAATCAAATAGCAGATTAATTGATTGTCTCACTTGCCAAACTGTTTCACTCTTCATTCAAATGGTCTGCACATTGACATCATAAAATAATCATTGAAGAAAGTTGGCAAAAAGGTTGTCATAGGGTAAATTAATTTGTTAAAAAAAGGGGTGGCCACATTAACAGGGAAGTAGAATAAGGATTAGCAAACTTTTGTACACACACAGAAAGAGAAGTGATTGCAAGAAGGTGTGGATGTATTAACCGTGAGGTCATACCACAGGGTTCCATACTTACTTTTATGATTTTTGCTTGTACACTGATAGAAAACTTTCAGTTGAGGTCTTTCAAAACCACAGGTATAATTAAATAGAGATTGGCTCAAAGTAATGTGACATTCCTTGTAGTGCTGACAGTGTGTTACGATAGTTTCCTTGGCATCAAATGGAGGACATGAAGATACTTCTGTACTGCGGTTTTGTGCACAGCTATGAGATGTCTGGTACCAAGCATGAAGAATATTGATTGTATAATCATAACTTGAGCAATTCAGTGCTAACATGTCACCAGAGCATACTTTAGCAGTAAGCACATCATCTAAACCTGAAAAAAAGTTATATGCTTGCATTAAAAAGTTTGAGTTAAAGAATGAGAAAGATATTCAACCAGATCAACCTACCAAGGAGCAGATATGCCTAGTATTTTATACTAGTAAAGTAGTATAGCAGGGACGTTTTAGCCCCTTTTTGGGGTCTGAATATGCTCACAAGTCATGAATTTCCCAACCTAGCCCTTTAGAAGGTACATACCAGTCCATTCAGGAACTTATTTCAGAAATTATCCCACATACTTACAGAAAAGGTGTTGCAAAAGTGGGCACATATATGGGATAATACAATAATATAACAATTATAATAATAATAATAATAATAATAATAATAATAATAGTAATAATAATAATAATAATAATTTAAGCTTTCAGTTATGGAAAAATTGATTTAAACTTCACTTTGCATATTAAAAATACCTCGCTTTAGTGAGAGGTATTCAAAGACAAATCCATTATGAGAGCTGGGGCTGGCACTACCAGAGAGGAAATGGACTCGTGCAAAGTTTCCAGGAGTCAATATTAACATGGCCATGTTTCCATTACAGTACTTTCCACCAATATTGTGTGAGATATCACTAAGCCCATCCCTAACTTCTACAAAGTCATTGCTACACTTTTGGGGATTTGCCCCTTGGTAAACATCAAAATGTGTGAACATAAGAGCAATGTACATGCCACTGCTAACTGAAATAAGCCAAGTACAGTCCTTGTTGTGAGGATAGATGTTGGGGTAGCCTGGGCTTCTTATAGATCCACTGGGCTCAGTAATGTATTCAGTACAGTCATCTGAAAACAATAAAGTGGAATAGTTGAGCATATTAATTTGTAGGGTTTATACAAACCCTAGCTAAATCAAAGTTCAAATTCTCATTTGTTGTCCCTATTCATTTCCTGTACAACTCAGACTGTCCAACCATTTTGTTGGGATTCTCCCAATTTTGCTTGAAAATTCCCAATCCCGACCATATACAATTGGGATGTTCTGATAATTCTTATGATATTCATACAAGAACATCTAACAGAGTATACTTCTAGAATTAATGTCCAGGAAACTTTAAAAAAAAACACCCAAAATATGAATTAAAATAGAGTATTCAATGTACGCGAAGACAACCAAATAAAAATGTGTAGTTCCAGAAAATATCCAGACCCCCACCACGGAGGGAATTTCACTTAGGACCCCCCCACCTCCCTGGATTTTCCATTTTTGCAGGGAACTGATGACCCCCCACCCCTTCAGAATTTCCACAAGTGTGATAAAGACCCCCCAACCCCTCTGGAAAAGTTCATTTACACGAAGAAAGACTATTAAAGTAGAAGAATGAGGCAACTTATGGTTAGTACCCAACGGTTTCCATCAGAAGCTTGAATGCTTCTGTTTCCATGTATTTGAGTGATCTTGCAACATTAAAACACACTACACGACCACAAAGTAACCTGATCTGTAATTTTTGCTCATCTCTTTCTTTAAATGAAACAGAGAAAGTAATAAGTCCGTTATATTTGTGAAATTACCTTAATCAGGGCAAGCTTACGAGTTGTTATTCGTCTCACGGGCATAATGTTGATAGAATTAACGCCATTTCGTGCGGGAATGCAGAACAACTCAAACTTACGACCACAAAATTAATGCAAAACAAAGAGGAGAATAAAAACTCTGAATTCTGAAATGATAACAATTAATACCCCCTGCATCTTGAAGGTACTTGAAGGGAAACCAAGATCAATTTACTGTTTTTCGATCGACTGATGCGACTTAAGCTGCAGTTTAACCAATCTTTGAACCTCCACATCTCTTCTTTGGTGGGTTATTTTAAGAAGATAATAGCTTTTCTAGTCTTCTCTATATACTTTCATAAAACTGTTCACAGTAAATGATGTTTAGATAAAATCGGTGGGCAAATTGAAAATGACTTAGAATGCGGTTTTGTTAAACACTGGCTAAATTAGGTTTAAATATTTGGCCCTAAGTTTCTAAAATGGTGACACTTACCTGCTTCATCACTGCAACCATAGAACTCCAATCTAAGGCACATGTCACGATAGAATTCCTTGGGGTGTATTCGAAGGAATCTTGTCACAAATGTGTCTCTGAATTGGTTAGTCTTCACATCATTAGCATTGCTATTTCCAGTAAAAGTCTTAATAAGAGTAAATGGGAATAAAAAAAAATCAAAGGTTAGTGCTAAAAGATTAGAAAACCAAAATAGGAAAGATATAACAAGTAGATTACCCACTGGTTTAAGGAGGGTGGTTATGCCACAAAATAAATACATTTTAAATTATGCAGAGTGGAGATACTGTGTGCCACAAAATTTTTGCAAGATCTAATTTTTGCGATTTTTCTGTTGTCCTGCAAAAAAATTACTGCAAACATCTTTCACAACATTTACCCCAGAGTAATTCTCTCTAACTCCTGATTCATCATAATTCACTTCCAATCATCAAAACAATCAGTCAAGGCAGATGTTATTGTAATCGAAGGACAAAGAAAATAGCACACTACAGTCTTCAAAATCTTCAAATGACACTCTTCAAATTAAATCAAGGACCTGCTGACAATTTTAAAGCAAAACCAAACTAAGGATTTGTAACAAATACGGCAGTGAATTTAACAATTATTGAAAGTGAGTGATGAAAACTAATGGGGAATCCCATTTGAAAGACAGGGCTGCTCATTGCCTTGTGTAAGGGCTGTAAATTGCACATTTGGGCTGGAATTTGCCCATCACACTACCAGTATGTTCTTATGATACTTACCAATTCAGCACCATCGTTGGCCTTATAAATGTACCAAGTTACCCCATCATAACTGTAGTTTACAGTGAAAGTCTTTACATAGTAGCTTCTACGATATAAGCCAATCCAGCCACGATATCCTTGCATATCCATAGATGATACATGTCTGACCCTAAGCAGGTCAATTTCAAAGTATTCTTTCCGGTTGTCATTTGAATTGCTGCACCAGGCCTTGCTGTTACCCAGTCTTCCCTGGCTGGCTGCCCAATCCTGTTTATTGCGATAATGCGAAAAGGAGCTCAGCTGGGAATTCTCTATTCTTCCATCTTTCATACCAAGGGGATCAGAGCAGCCTAAAAAACAGTTATAACTATATAGAGGTTACAAATCACGCTGCGCACAGATGCTGAGCAGTATTATAAAAACATAAACAAAAATGCACATTTTGCTAATAACAGACCCTTTTATATTTGGGCCAATTAATATTTGTGAGATAAAGGACTACAAGGGAGTCCTACAAGCATCAGTTCTTTACTATTTGGGTCTTTATTAAACAGATTATAGTCATGTAAACAAATTAAAACTGTTTGCATGGGCCACAATGTGCAAAACTTAGCACAATTATATGATAAATGACATATTATTAAAATATTAATAAAAGTGTTACAATAATTTGAAATTTTTTAACCTAAGTTGATTTTCAATAATTATTTCCTTGGTCTCCTATCCCTCATTCATAAATAATTATTTTGCTAGTTAAATTAATGACTTCAATCATTATAATTTATTATTATATATCAAATACATTAATTGCCAATGAGCAGTCTCGCAAAGACGCAAGGCTGCAAGGTGGCAGCCTAATAAATTAAAGCCGTGCGCGAAAGTTCCGAGGCAGAATGAATCTCAAAGCGATGTCACATTATAAAGTGTAAGGGAACTTTTATGACGCACTGCAGAACAGAGAATGCATTGTTTTCGAGCAAACACGTGATACAGAACAGAGAATCCACGGACTGTGTGCATGTTTGAGAGTCCCGTGCTCATCCCATCTTCAACCAATTGTCGGGTGGATTCATTTGCAACATATGCTTATACCTTATTATAGGAAAATAACACTCCATGAAATTAACCGAATCGTTAAAATTTGCGTTAATTTAAGTCGCGTTAATTTTGTTGAGCGTTAATTTCCGCTACATTAATTAAGTGCAGCTTAAATTTCTGTGCTCTTAATTTCCAGTATCTTAACCCCAATTTTGGAACCTGTCCAGACATTCTTGACACCTAAAAAACATTAACTACAAGCTTTCTTTCTTTCCATTTACCCTTTATTTTTCATCTTTCACAAAAGCTAGGGCGAAGGTTTACAATATTTTGAGTTCATCTTCATCGTTGTCGCTATCAGAAGTGATACGAACATCTTTTCCTTTGATTTCGTGTAATTAATCGCGTTAATTTCCTTTATTATGAAATTCTACCTCCTCTTTCGCGTTAATTTTCTTTATCCGAAAGTCGTTTTCCATTAAATTTGCGTTAATTTAAGTCGCGTTAATTTCCAATACCTTAATTTCATGGAGCGCTAATTTCCTATAATAAGGTATAGCTGTCACATTTGCCCACTGGAATTTTTATTGTAACGGTAATTTATGACATTTCTACACAAATTAAACAGCGCGCAAATGTATAAGTAAAATCTTTGCTCGTTAGCACTTAGCCATAGCTATAACTAGTAGTAAGCAATATATATTAAGTTTTAAAACACTATTGACATTTTTCTTATCTTCATCAAGGTTCTCTTTATTAAGTGACGGCAGCCGGCTAAAAAACCGGCTGCTTGGAGGTTTGCACCGTCTACTTTTTGCAGAAATAAGGTTAAGTGAGACAGTAAAAGCCTGAAATTGCCTACAGCACTCCGCAATTACCAAGCTGCCTACTTTAACATCCTAGCTGTCTATACTTTAAAGATTAATGAGAACCCTCTTCATGACATTTGCCTGTTCCTTTGCAGTTTTAGGTTATAAAGGGATATTTTGTCGAGCATATATTCTTCAAATAGCAGTTTCCATACATTGGGAGGAATGTTTGCTTGCTGAGTTTTAGGCAGTAGTTTGGCTATTTCTTCCTTGCAAAACATGTGAAATCATCCACTGTTTTCTCCATCTCTGCCTAAACAGCTATCAGCACAACTGTGCCTTGCTATCCCTTTTTCTGTTGATATCTTTACAATATTATATATTTCATTGTGCTAATATATGACCACATGACTTCCATTTTTGGTCAATGGGACCTGGTTACAAAGAATTGACTGGGGAATTTAAGCCAATCAGAAATTGAGAAACCTTGAATGAATACTGACTCTTGACATCATTTTCAGCCTCATCATGCTTGAGGACAATATATTGGAAAACTGAGAACAGCAATGCTGGACAAGTATGATTGGCAGGGAAGATTCATACAATCAGACCTGATACCCAACCAAACTAACTAACTAACTCATCCAACAACTTATTGCTTATTATTACATTGTATTCCCCTACTTATGGTCACCTGATCTCCACAAGAGAGTCACTTTTTTGTTCCACTGGATACACCAAGGTGGCAAAGGGGTTTTCCCTGATGGGTGATGGGCCCCAAATTTATTATGATTGGGATATGTGAAGAGGTCCAAATTAGATGTGTGAGGTGTGATTGGGCATTAAACAAGAGAATGCGTGATTAACTATTTTCAAAATATGTCACCATGATTTCCTTTGGAAATCTGTGATTGGTGAAAATCATTTGAAACTACAGTGAAACCTCTATTAAGCGGACCCCCAATTAAGTAGACACCCTCTATTAAGTGGACACTAAGCTGGGTCTCAAAACTGTGTATTATATTTTCCTTTATAACGAACCCCTACTCAGCGGACACCTCTATTAAGAAGAAGCGGACACTAAAATAAATTGTATTTGGCTAATTTCTATTGTTAAAAACCTCTATTAAGTGGACACCGGACGGAATTGACAATAGTAGCATAGGATTACGTCCTTGATATACATACTGTAGTCGATTAATAAAGATAAATCAATATATTTAGCTGTCAAAAGTTCACCTCAAAGTCTTCTACAAAGTACAGCACAGCTTCCTTAGCTTCCTCAACAACATGAAACTTTATCACAGTTCAGAGTAACAGTTACTGTTGAATGTTAATCGTTAACGAGCATTGCACAATTTTTACAAATAAACCTCTATTAAGCAGACACCTTCTATTAACCGGACACTTGGGAAGGTCCCGAAGTTGTCCGCTTAATAGAGGTTTCTCTATAGTAGCACAGACATCAACAACAGATAGTCATGACATCATTTTGAGCCAGATCATAAAAACCAGTTATTTGGATAACAGTAATACTCGTCGTTGGAAATCAGGCGGTTGTTGACAGAGATTGAGCTCTCGCACGCTAGAACATAGTTCGAAAATTGACCCCTGCTCAAAGGATAGACAACGTACCCAGACAAAGAAAATAAACTTACTTAATGACTCTTTCACGTCAGATAAGAATTTTCTTTACTAGGGTACCAACTTTGTAGTATTGAACTTTTGAAGAGAATGTTTAAGCTATAACAGACGTAAAACGATTAGCTGTCACTTGCAAACGCATAAACCTTCATCAAAATCTTATACATATTGTAACCATACACTAAAGTAAGCTTAAATTTTCTAACTCTTACATAATACAACAAAGTCGTTTATTATATAGCGGTGCATTTATGATTTGTTCTGAGTTGTTAAGTCTTAATTTGTTTTCAATCTTAATTTGCGTATTCTTATGTTATGCAAAAAAGTCCTAGAAGGAAGGAAAATATTACCCTCTACGTTATGAACCTTTTCAAGAGGCAACAAAATGAAAATAAAGTGATAAATTTTTACCCGATCTTGAAGCCTCGACGATGGGAAAACAAACATCAGCCACGAAGACCGCGCACAATAGGCAAAGCTTTGTGATAGTCGACAAGTTTTTCCTGGGACGTTCCATCTTCTAGAACACAACCGAATCAGTTACACGTTTCAACTTGCCATGGTTAATTTCCTTGTTGTGAAGAATCTAACAACGTAACAAAACTATGAATCCGTGAAAAGGACAGACAACCTCTTTGTTCGTACAACTCCAAAGTCCACTGTGTAGGGAGAGGAAAGTAGGTGCGTGGTGTGCAGAAGGGGGGAGTACACTGCGAAAGGTCGCCGATCACGCGAACCCTCGCTTGTTATTATTGCGAAATCTGAGCAGAGAACGCAACAAAGAATTGAAAACACAACACTACTAGATAACCGCCAAGGACTCAACTTAAGAGCACAGAGCCGTAAAATGTTGCCGGCAGAAGTGGAACCTGATATAAGAAACGTGCATAAACACGTAGTGGCCCACTGAACTAATATAAAATTACAAATACGAAAAGAGTTCTGTGACCGTCGTCGCCAAAGAGGTTTAATTTTGTTCAACAAAACCTTCTCAAGTCAAAGACATTTTAAAACAATCCTTATATACTAACATAGTACTTTTTGACAAGAATACAACTTTAGATTTACAGCTTTCCACGTACTCCTAGCTCGCAGGGTAAAACCTCTTAGTCTATATAGAACTAAGATGACACTGCCTATTGAGTATTTGCTTGCGGTTTCGAGAACAGGATCATTCTCTGTACATGTTAAAGCCTTATATTAGGAACCTCAGTCCTATGTAAAATGCTAAAGCCAATCCTGGATCGGTACTTTTAAACCTTTCATCGTTTGTTTCCTTTCAAACTTTTTACATTGAAATCTCCTTCTTCAAGTGCTGCTTGGCTCAGTTTCTGGGGAACAGTTCGCGCTATTGCAATAAAAACACAGCGACAACAATTAACAAAACCCCATCTGTTACTTAACTTCGATAATATATTTTTAGTTTGCCAATATATACCGATAAATATCGCCAACATCCACTTCAGTTAATGACTACAAAGCAACAAAAACAATCATCTCGTGTTGAGGGGGAGTGGCAAGGGAGCGGTGGAGGTGGGGGTCGGGGGCGGGAAAGGGGCTAGGAGGGGGCGTAGGGAATATATAATTAATAAACAGAAGGAAGCCAAGCGGATGATTTCCATTACAAAAGAGTCAGTTCTTTTGTTGTCTCTTCAATAACTGGTCTTCGAATACAGGAGTGATCCGTCACATGAGCGGCATAAATAGTGAAAATTCAAAGGCTTGTGAATTATGAACGTTTCACTGAAACGGAGCCCGAGCCTGTTTTCACCGTCAAAGTACACCTGCAACCGTGAATCATTCTATTAAAGCGGCGACGAAACAAGTCCTGAAGTGCCACGCTGTAAAAGTAAATATGTCGCAAAGATATTAAAGTTTTCCTTGTACCTTTACCCTCGTATCATAGAAGCTTTCATAGTATTATTATCCCTGCTCCCTTGAGAGATGACATTATATTAAAATCAATGAGTTTCGTAGGCAAAGTGAAAATGCGCGAAACCATCTGAGAAAATCTTGACAGCAAGACATTTCTTGAATTTCCACGTCTTCTCTATGTTAGCTGTCGAATACAGCCGCCTCTCAGTTCGACTCTCATCGCTCTCCGCCACTCCGACGTTTCTCGATAGTCTCTACCTCTAGCGGCAATATACGCGGGCTGCCACTGAGTTCAACAGTACTGACCTAATTTTTAGGAATAAGACTTCGCAATGAAGGTCGATATATTTTGTAACCAGGAGTATACATGAGACTTTTGTTACCAGCAGATGTTTCTCTAGGGAAGTAAATAACTTTTTGTGTTTCAAATGGAACTTTAGGAAAGTTTCTCGATCATGAAAAAGCAGTAGTAAGTGTTGAATTGTCTATAATCCTGGCTGTGAATAGGGTTCGTGATGTTTTGGAATAAAAATGAGTATTTGTATAACTTTATCAACGTTCAAAAGCACGCAATTTTCGAATAGATTGCGCCCGATATTCGGCCGCTCTGAGGTGTTGCAGTAATGACGTTTTTTGGGAGGAAGAGGGATTGGCTAATGTGGGTTTTACTTGTACTTTCTGTGATATTATGCATCAGGCTTAGTTGGCACTTTGTTTTCAGGTACTTCTCTCTCAGATTCTTTCGACCTTAAAAATAGGCTTAACATATTGAACTTTCGTCTTCATACGAATCACTTGATGCAGCATTTTTGGAACATTATTTGTGATGTGCGATGTTAAATTTACTGGGTCAGTCCGTTCGCTCGAGCTACAAATTAAAGGAAGGTCGCGGTCGGCGTAGTAGACGCTTCCTAAAATGTAAATTTGCAAAATTTAAAACTTCCGATTGCGTCATTTAACCAAATATTTAAAAGTCTTGGGCGTTATATATTAAATGACGTGTTTATATTTATCATTACGTACATCTTAACATTTTTCGAATGATCTGTAGACTCCTTTGGCAAGCGTTGAATAACGCCCGGGTGCCTTGACGATGCAGCAAGATATGGCGCAAAAGAGCGCGAAAGTTCTCGCACCGCATATAGCTGATAGGTCTCGCATAGCTCAGATTTCCTGTTCAATTAACAGTTAATGAATGAGGCTGGGTATCTTTTGAAGAATTATGGAGATCGAGGAAGTTGTACGGCCTCGACGGATAACACCCTCCGAGATCTCCATAATTCTTCATATGACACCAAAGCCGAGTTCAATAATCGTTTTTTGATTCATTCGAAATAATTCCTAGTTTAAAAACATAGCTAAAACATGCTCTAATACCTCCATCGATGTCAAGTTCATCTTCGATAGTGCACGTTTAGGGTTGTCCAGCTCCGCAAATATTCTCCAAATAAAAGATGTCGCCAATCGAGTTCTCTTCTTGCCCTTCTTGCCATGTTTTTAGCTATTATTTAGCCTAGTTCTTACTCTTGAAACGAGTGAAATGTCCGCCATTTTTGTTTTCACAACCACAACAACTCAACCTCGTCCCCAGGTCTTCTCTTAACGGTGCATTAACCTGCAAGGAAGCTGCACTTTTGACGTCGGTTGATTAATAGCAAAATTCTTCCAAATTTGGTCATCAGTAGCTGGTTATGGTGAATTATGCGTGTGCTTTTAGCCAATCAGAATCGTGGAAATATTTTGAATGAATAATAACATGAGTTAAACCATAGTTAATTGAGTGGAATGGTTATGAAACCCGTCAGACTCCTTTGTTATATGTTTGTGTGGACCTGAAAGTGCACAACGTTCAAAAGAATTCCTATCATTTTGATTGTATTGACCAATAAAAACGTTGCATTAATTTATTCCGTAACAATTTAGCAACAGAAAACAAAGGATTGTGCACTCTCAGGGTGCTTCCAACATAAACTGCAGCACTGTTGTTTTTATCATTGATGTTTGCCGCTTTTCATAACCAGTCTCCTCTAATAACTATGGTTAAACAAACAATGAACGTGGACACATCGTGTGAATCAGGTCTTAGGAGGTTTGGGCACACGTGCAGACCTCCTTAGCAGGGGTTCAGCTTGGGCACTTGCTCTTGAGTTGATGTCCTCTGATGCTGGGTTAGACATGGTCTTGACTAGATGATACAGGATGTATGAGTGCGTGTGGAACATCTTTGTCACTTTACGTTTCTTCCAGAGCATCACTGAGAGAGGGAACTATGTATCTAAGAGAAGCTTCTTAAAGTAGGAATAATTGCAAGTCACCTTTCGGTCGCCTCCTTTATAGCGGTCAGCATACTGTGGTTCTTACTTGTGACTGTTAGTGGGACTGGGTGGTATGGTGTACAAAACTTATCAAGCTTTGGCTACTTTACCAACACAGTATCTCCAACTTCTATGTCAGAATCCTTGATGGGTTCCCTGCTTTGGATATAAAAAAGCTTCAGGTCTTGAATAAGGCTTGATGACCCTCATGGACTTGTCCAATGACACGTTTCTGAAGAGCATCAGGAATGACAATACTATTACTAAGAAGGACAGTGTCACCGTCCACTGAGGTAAGTTTATTCCAAACATTTGCAAAGATCTTAAGGGTACTTGGATCAACTCCGTTCACTGGATACAGGCTGTTCCACTGGCCATTTGAGGTAAGTGCATCACTTCTTGTAAAGTCGTATCTCGTGATGTAGCCATAACAATGTCATCTCTGCTTAATGACTTTGCTGTGGCTCGTGTCATGACAAAGTTAACATAATGCTCTGCAGACACAGCAACTTGGTCACACTGAGTGGTACCCCGAAGATGTCTTGATATGTAATCAGCTGGACTTGAATCATCTCTTGAGTACAGCACTTCGAAGTCAAATGACTGCAATTTCAGACTTCAGTTGTCAATTCTTGCTGAAGCATGAGAAGTAGGCCTGTTGAAGATGTGCAACGGGGACTTGTGGTCCGGCTATCACTTTAAAGTGGCTTCCTAACAAGCACATTCGGAAGTGATGGTAACCCCATGAGACAGCCAATGCTTCTCGCTCAATTTGGGAAGAGCACCTGTCTACACTGGAAAGAGCTTTACTGGCAAAGGAGATCACTTTGCCACTTTGTGTCAGCACAGCACCTAACCCAATTGGACAGGCATCCACAACTTGGTCTTGTGTAATTAGTGCACCCCTCGGTCGAGTATCGATCGACGCTTTATCCGCCGATATTTAGGGGTTAGCAGGGCAGCTTGTTTGATTGCTTCGACCTTATCATGGTCAGGGGACATTCCTTGTGCACTGAAGACCATTCCAAAGAAATAAATTCAAGGCATGTAGAACTGGCACTTGTTTTTGCGAAGTGTAATTTTTAACTCTAGGAAGCGGGTAAGCACTGAATGGAGAGCCTTATCATTTCGCTGAACATTCACTCCACAGATTATGACATCATCACGAATGTTTTTAACACCTGGAAAGTCACTAATGCTAGAGGCAATGTGAAACTTCTCAGCGTTAATACCAAAACTAAGACGTTTGTATCTAAATAAGACGAAAAGATGATTAGAGAAGGTGGTAATATGCCTTGAGTAAGGGTGCAACAGCAACTGATGATAGCCCTGATTTAGTTGTAATTTGCCAAACACAATAGCACCTCTCAGGCCATGTATCACTTCGGGCAAGGATAGGCAGCAGATGTCGCTCTCTTGAGATAGCTTTGTTTGCCTCACGTATGTCCACATGCACAAAAGAACACCTCCAGGGTTAGAGCATGTAACACGATATATTGCTCTCAGGTTGCCACTCATAGAAGGGTGACCTGGAGAGTTTTCAGCATTTAGATGGCTCTCTTGAGCTGGCATTGCTGTTGCTGATCCAGTAGGTGTCGAAACTTCAGTCTATAGATTCTCGCGCTTGGGGATGGAAACCTTTGGTGGTATTTGGGTCACTGGTAATGCTTAATGCTTAATGAGGTGCCATAGCTGGACTGTCGGAAGGTATTGTACGCTTCAAACTAGTTGCTGCTAGAGCAGACTAATAAAAAATTACACATCGGTATGCTCACATCGATCCTCACTAAGTAGGAGCCAGGCTGGTTTGCAGTTCCTGTGATCTGACCCTCCCAGTTCTAGTCTTCAACGTAAACTTGCTTACCTGTGGTGGGTGGAGGGAGCAGGGCAACGGATTGGTGGGGTTTGACATGGCTAATCTGTTTTGACCCGTACTTACCCTCTGGTTGCTGACTAGCATTTTGCCTTTTAGGTTTGAGGATACTGGGTATGGCAGGAACTTTGATTTGCAAGTATACGTAGAACCCTATGAGTAACTCGTTGAGTGAAAAACCAAGTTCACTCACCGTTTCTGGGAACGGCGTCATCTTTCTACCGACGCTCAAAAATAAATAAATAGACGATGGCTCTTCGAGACTCGACGAGGACGACTCGACTTCACTTTTTGACTCTACGAGGATTACTCTGTGACACACGATGACTCGCCAACTTCACCGAGTCATCCTCGAGGAGTAATCCTCGTCGAGTCATCGTCTCGTTGAGTCGTCCTTGTCGAGTCAAGCGTGTCTCACCGAGTCATCGTCATGTAGTTATGGTGCCTTATTGAGTCACCCTCGCAGAGACATCGAGTCCTCACCGAGTCCTCGAGTGAAGTCAAGTCGTCCTCGTCGAGTGTTGAAGTATCGCTTGAAAATTCGAGGGTCCATTTATTTACTTTTGAGCGTCGGTAGAAAGATGACTCGATTCCCAGAAAAGGTGAGTGATCCAAAAACCATTCTGAAAAAGTGTAGATCGGTAAGCAAGGAGGGTTGGACACAGGTCTTCATTCTTGACGATCATTGCTTTGACTATGCAGTCTGTCCTTCAACTTCACCGTTTGCCCTTGGGTATTTGGGCACAATTGTCACAAGAACAACGTCGTACTAAGAGAACGATAACAGAAAGGATTCGGAGCTGAATTTTTGGCCCTTATCTGATACAATTATGGAGTGTATGCCATGTGTGGAAAATAGTTCTTTCGGGTTGACTCTTTCAGATATTGATCGTTCAGTTTCGGCTTTACCTCCAGCAACCTTGTATACGTATACTTTTACCACAGGTTCAGAGAGGGTAGCAAATAACCTTTCCTGTGAGCGACAAGGGAATGTGGCTGTCATGAGTGGCTCTTTGGGTTCAGAATGATTTTCGGCACAGGTGCCACCATGTTCTCAATCTTCGAGCGTCATTTTGCAAAATAGATCATAGAAAGTTCTGGCACCATACTGACGTTCAGACTGTAGCTCAGCACTTGGTTATGTTAGGGTGATCAACACTAATGCAGTCAAGAATCTGCAGTCTAATGGACCTGAGAATCACTGTGCATTCATCACAAAGGGTGGAAAGCCTTGAAGAGAAAAAAGCGGCGCACACTTCAGACATGGTGTCAAAAGAATTTGCAAACCTTACCCAAGGAGCAACTGGCCGGCAAACTCACCTGATGTGAGCCTCCTGGAGACCATCTGGCGAATCGTTGACGAGACGAAGTACAAAGAGCCAACCCCCAAAACACTGGACGAGCTGAGACCGCGACTACAGTTCGCCTGGAAAATTTGACTTTAGACACGCTTAGGAAGCTCGTACATTCTATACCTCACCGCTTAGAAAATGTCTGAAAAGATGAAGGAGGACATTCTGGTTACTAATATCTCAGTTATTCAATGTTAAATGGATAAGGAATGACTTACTCAGTTTTACGAAAGGTATTTATGGCAATCTGTGAAATCTACGTGAGGGAAAAATTGGAGCGAACTTTTCAAATACCCTGTAAAGGCGGATGAAGCAAGTCTAAAACCTTTGATAGATCTGCTGATAAGATCCCAAAGACATTTGTCCCATTTCAGGGACTGTTGAAGCATCGAAACACAAGATGAATTCTCTACAGAAAGGGTAGGAAAAGACAAAAGTGCAGAAACTTTGGTCAATTCAACAGCAAATACAATAAACATTTTGGCCGGTGAAAAGCTGAGGACAAAATTCAACAACTTGACACAGAACCATAAGGGAGTAGACGACAAAGATAGAACGAGCAGGAACCTACGTCAGGCATGTGCGCTAATTGATAAGTTACAAGATCCCCTTGGTAATTAACAACTGCTCAGCTGTTTCTGTCCCTCTCTTGTTGCGCATCCTGGCTACAACGAGTATAGGTGGCTTCTCTACGATATCCCCTGCTAGGCGGGATGAAACTCATACTTTCACTTCATATGAGCTCAGAGCTAACCAGTTTCTTCTGGAAAAATATCCTATGTATGTTGGGAGGCAACCAGAATTAAAAAAGTATAGGTCACGACAAATTTTAACCAGGGGTGCGAAAGCTGGCAAGCAATGTCCAGGCACCGTCGCCAACGAACATTTTCAATGTGTGCAAACAGACCAGCAGCTGGCCCGAAATGGGAACAGAGTATATGGGAACCTCTTTACAAGAAGGATAACACTTAACCACAGAGATATAAAAAACTGCAGACTTATAACTATTCTTGTTGTATGACAAAATCCTCACTCTTTAGCTTATTTCTCGAACTAATGGTTGTTCCTGAACAAATACATACACATGTACATACTTTATCTATTTACACACGTTAAAAATAAAAAATAATAAAGTGATAACTGTTTTTGAAGATTGTCGTATAGGAGCCTAACTGATTATCGTTGTAATTGCGGTAAAGTTCCCTTTTAAACCGTTCCCTCTTAGATTATACAGAGGGCCGCGAATGCCAAATAAATCCTGAAAGTACAAGAGGGACTTAGCCTTTTAATTGTTTTGAACATTAATTACATGGCTTTTAGCTTTTTGCGCTCAATCCGTGCTGCCACAACCTCGTGCCAATATTACCCAATAATGCACTCGCTTTTAATCTTAGCGGTTAAAGGAGCTGTGTCACGAAATTTAGCCAAATTAGGAAATTACAAAATGCCCGCTAAATTAAGAGAAACATAAAAATAACCGCTTAAAACTTTAAAGGAAGGTTAAAATAACATAACAGAAACAACAGATGCCACGGATGGGCAAAACTGAAGAAGATTGAAGCGGATTGAAATTAGGGTTTTTGAAAACTGTTCAGCCTAACAGTTTTTCAAAGTTGATCCCTGCTGCTTGCAACTTCAAAAAATATGCTCAGGAGACATTTTTGTTTGTCTCGAATCCCAGATTTTGTCATTTACATGTAATTTCTTTGCTTACTTTTAAGTTCCATAGCGATTGAGGGCGAGTAATTGGCAAAATTAAACAAAATGAACTGGACTGCCGTGACACAGCCCCTTAAACTCAAACTGTATGTAGTCATTGTGCCAAGGAGAAAACACAACCTTTATAACAGGTAAAGAGATTGTGTAAGCGATACTCCTTAATTTAGCTGAACTAACGAGCGCATAGAGGACGTGGCGAACAGCTTGGCTTGATCAAACCTTTCAATCCCTTGCCACAAGTGTATCATCTAGATATTTTAATACTTTTAAAATTTCAAATATAACTCTCTTTAAAGCATGCTTAAAATTCCTGTTGGTCAGGAGCTGCTGCTATTGGGTCATTGAATTTCAGCATGATCAAGCAAGCCAATTATGGTTCAGAATACAAAGTTTCGGAATTTTTCCCCCTGCCATCAAAAGTGTTTGTGAAGTAGAAAATTCTTGAGACGCGTTGGCAACGGAAGCCTGTCAACTTTACTTGGTGAGACTCGGGTGTTAATCACTTGTCGGCACAGGAACTTTAGGTTAAAGATCATTGGTAGCTGCCATATTCGAATGTACCCATCGCTATAGCTACCAGCAAGTTCCTCGCCGCTTTGGGTAAAAGCCATGTGAAAGACCCCTGCCTCGCTGTGGAATTCTGGTGGCTGTTGCGATGGGTCTAAGACAAAACTAATTTGTCCATTCTCTGTATTCACACAAGAAATAATTCCGTCATTTGCTCCCACTGCTAATATCGTTCCATCGGGGGAATATCTGACAACATTTAGCATCTTTTTAAACTTAAGATTGTGTCTAACTTGGATTTCGATGTCCCTTCTGTCAAAACTCGTCATGCGTCAAGTTTTAACCACACCTGCGTAAATAACGCACGTGGCAAATTCTTGAAAGCGAAAGCGCGGATCAAAGATACAGACAGACTGTGTGACGTAGTCTTCCAGATTGCTATCGCCGAGATCTGGAACTTTGTACGGAGCAAGAATTTTCGCGCTGTCTAGACTTTTCGTCAAGGCCAAGCGTGCGGAGATTAAGAAATAAACATTTCCTTATGATGAGGTTACTGCAAGAAGTTGACCGTTGGGAGAAAACGCGCAATCTACAAGCACGCCGCGAAAACCAACACACACTTTGCTTACTTTCTCGGAACAAATCTTTTTTGCGTTTCGCGTATTGGTGATTGACAGGTTTAGAGATCCTCCCACTATACGGACAGAGGCAACCATGTTCCCATCACTGGAGAAGGGGGGCACCCTTGCGGATATATCCTACGGTATTCCGACAGAGTTCCCTGGATGTTGCACGGAATACATTTTTGCGATGTTGAACACCGTTGGGGGAAATTGATCATAGACCGGAAGTAAGTGTAAAGCCACTGACGTTGGGAGCAGGTCCCAACGTCAGTGGCTTCATAGTTCAGTTGGTAGAGCATCGCACCGGTAATCGCGAGGTCACGGGTTCAAACCCCGTTGAAGTCCTGAATTTTTTTCAGGCTTCTTTACGCAATTGCATAAATTGCGTTTACTGCGACGATCATTTCTTCATTTTCATTGTTGTCTATGTTGTGGTTCAATTTTATCCTTGGTATAAGTTTTATTTCCCTTTGTTGGGTATGGTAATGTATGGCGATGAGTTTAAAACAAGGGGAAATAAAATTTAAACCAAGGATAAAATCGAACCACAACATCTACGTCACGACTATCGTATTCGGCCGATCACACTATAGCAACTGAACTTAAAGCTTTCAAAGTCAATCCCACGTTGTTTATTTAATTTTGTATTTCTTTCTTTGTCAATTTTTTTTAGCGCAATTCGACATCACTACCAATGAAATTATATGCAAAACTTATTTAAAATAAATGTCTCAAACCTCCCATAAATGTACATTTTTTACAATGGATAAATCTAGAAACCTCAGTATCATGCTCTTGCCTGCTCCCATGCGGGTCACACGTCGAAAGGGAAGGAGGGGGAGAGAGGAAAAAAAGCCCTCTCGCAACTTCCTGTCCCCTTCCCTCTCCCCTCAAACGGGGGTTCTGGTGAGAGACCAAGAGGAACAAATTCCATTTCATCTTAAATTTATTAAAACAGCTTTTAAAAACTAGTTTACCACTCTACTTATGCACAAATACCAAGGTCAGCCTTGTATCTTCCCTTTTACAAAAATTTTGGTTTATCCTTTTACTTTTCAGGCAAAGTGGTTTTACCTTGTCCGTAAACATGGTAAAGAAAAGTGGTGTGTGCGGTTTTCGCAAAAGTTGTATGTTTGTGTTTGTTTTTGTCATTTCTTTGATACTTGCAAGTGACAATGCTACTCGTCCAGCGTTTCTACGAAAGGGCCATCAAATAAAATTATATCTCATTGAAAAAAAAATTCCCAGAGTTATTGAGGTAATGGATTAAATGGCTGGTTCACTAAATATAACCCTCCTACAAACAAACATATTGACCAAGCTTATATTAATCGGATTAAAATGAGATCATTATAATGATGATGATGATGATGATGATGGTGAGCCGTCCAGGAACCTCAAGATCTGTTTGTTAACAAGTAGCTACAAGTGGGTTAGTTTGCGCAAGAGCCATAATGGAGCTCTTGGTTAGCGTAATTTCAGTTTCTAGTCTGCGACTCTAAGACGTATGTTTAGAGCAAGGAAAATGATTTTAGGTTCGGCCATATTGAAAATGGCTATCTAACGGTTAACCCTTATATAATTCAACCGTGGCCAACACAAGCGAGGCAATTTACGACAACGACCTTGAGTTCGCAAGCGACGACACACTATAAAGGGGGAAATATTTTACGGACAGGAGTCTTGAATCGTTTATTCAACGTGATCATAGGATCTAAGTCCTTATCGTAACTGATACATGAAATACAAAAAAGGCTAAGCCAATTTCTAACATTCAAACTACATTCCAAACATTCCATTGCAAACTTGCAAGTTACACTAAGTCTAAGCCGAGGAAGGTAAACGAATCAAGACTTAAGAAAATATCGAAAACGAAGTAACAAGTACAAAATTCGAGATTATAAAAAGATACATCTACTAACAAAGCGAAGACAGTTCGATGTACTATAAAACTCCGTAGAGCCATTAAGGTCGAAATACAAACAAATAAAGAAACTATATAAAAGCAAAAGAGACAAACTACTGAAAAACAAACTCTAAAACGTACTAATGATCAAGTGAAAGGAGAGTAACATTTTAAGTAACATCAACCAACCTATGCCACGTGGTAACATAGTTGAGGAAAACATGTGATCGAAAAACTGGTGAACGCTTGAGGAGTCTATCGAAAAGGTTAGGTATACAAAAGAAACTTAAACACTTACATAACAGTCCCGTTTGTAAGAGCTTGACCAAACAACTTTAAAGATAGACTGGACAAACTGTACTAACGACGAACACGACTTGTCGTTTGCCCAAACAAAGCCAACTAACAAAAATGCGGTTTGACCGGAACTCAAGTTATCACGTCCCTAATGGACAAGGAATAACGTTATCTTGCGGTTTAAAGTAATACAATACAAATTAAATCAATAACGAATCAATATTCGGGAACAACGCGTGGTAGCCGTTACAGTTATCCTTTAATAGATTCGCTGAAAAGTTAATGATGACTGGCACGTAGGACACGTGCATGCATGCTCAACTGGGTTTTGGGGCTGTGTACTTGAGGCTGTGGTTTGATACTCAGCATAAGTGCATGCCACTTGTTCATTTGGGCTGAGGAGTTGCTGGGGCCCGTCATGTGACTGGTAGGTCTCCTCATTATGATAACCCGTTTCTTGAATCGGCACAGACACTTCAGGCCTATCAAGTGCTTCATTTAATGCAGTCCCTCGTGCAAAGGACGCCTGATCTTCAAATAGCAGACCTTGCAGAATGCTATCCACTGAACGATCTCTTGCAGGGATGTGACTATTTACGTCTTCAAATGGTTGACGTCCCACAGCCTGTATGGCAATAAGAATGTTTCAGAATAAAACGAAGGCATTATAAATTATTAGTACCATCTTGAGGAAAAGGATGATTTTGACTTCATTTTTTCCTACGAATACCTTTCCCTTAACTCAGCCTTTGATGTTTTGGCTACTAGTCCAGGGAGTCACTGGCGTCCCCAGATATTTAGCCCTCGGACGTACAAGCACGCAAATTAACACCCCTACCGTAGTACAAGAGGGGGGGGGGGGAGGGTGGATGGAAGCCCTCCCAGGAGTTTTTGATTTTTTTGCAGTATCTCGAAACGATTTTACGTTTAGTGGAAAGCCTTCGATCTTTGTAACAAGATGAGGTATATTCTGTGAGTGGTGGCGCTGCTGGAGGCCTGTGACAATGGTCGCCATCTTGGCCGCCATCTTGGATTTTACCAAGAATTAGAAATCAGGCAAAAACCGCGACAAATGGTAATTTTTTGAGCTTTACATGAACAATCGAGGGTCAAATGGCATGTGAAGCGAAAATCCTGATCACAAAACGAATTTTGTCCAAATACTGATGCCCTACGATTTTCTTACGATTGCTTTTTCATATTTCTCTCCCGAGGTTAGGCTATTTTTCGTAGAAAAAAAGAAAAGCTCAAATTTTCGGATTCAAAAAGGTGACGGAAAGAGGAATCATGGACGTTCTCACTTTCGTAGTACGTTAAATTGATTTTTGGGATATAAGAAAACTGAGGCCCTTGTAATCTTCGAAAAGACTCATATTCCCCTAGGATGACAGAACAGATACAAATTTTATAGCGCCACTTAAAACGCATTTCTGATCTAGAGCTGTAAAAGTACTAAAAAGTGTTTTCAGTGTATGAGGAAACCATAGATGGGTGCCCCTGTAGCTACCTTTACCAAGGGCTAGCCTAGCGTGTTTAAAACTGAAGTCAACTCTCAATGAGAAGCATGAAACATGTCTGACTTCTCTTATGTTAGAAGATGGAGCCTCGGTATAGCGGCCTACTGATACACAACTAACTAGGAATATTGTTAGTTATCATTTGGGCATTATTATTGGAAATTCTGTTGTTAAGGAAATAATTTGGATTTTCCTTTTTTTCTTTTGTTTTTTTTTTTTATACAGAGCGACTCGAAGTAAAAAGCGGATGCTTTTCAAGAATGTAAGACGACACGTTTAAAATCTGAAGGATAATCGTGATCTTCTTTAGGTTTAAGCTTGTCATATTAACCTACCCTTGGTTCTGTCAATGGCTGATCCCTGACGGCTAACCTCCGTAGCAAGTCCAAGTGTCTGCTTCCTCTGAAAACAAACAAAAAGGCACATGAAACTGACATGATACTATACCTAACAGACCGTATCGCATCTCTCCGAGTCAGAAAGATCAAAACATAAGATTTCATTGAAAGTACATCAGTAACCAAGAGAGTGTGTCTGTCAGTTAATTAACTCAATTCTTTACACAAACACAAAGTTGTATAAAATAGGTTTTAGAGCAAATGATTTATGCTCTTTCTGTGACAATCAACCCGAATCATTAACTCATTTGTTCTATCACTGCTCACGCTCTAAACAGTTTTGGACGGAATTTGAACTATATTGGTGCCTTATTTCGAATCAACGAATTCGTCTCTGCTTGGAAAATGTGCTCTTTGGAATTTTGACGGAAAATACTTGCCCTTTACTTCCAAACATTTATGGATTTAGGGCCAAGATCATCGCTAAATATGAAACAGAAGAAAAAATCAGCAACAAAGAATTCTTTCAAAGAAAGTGGATACTGAAGCCTTATTTAAGTTAACTCAGAAACTCATAAGGGGTTGAAACGTGTAACTCTCATATGTTTACATTGTCCGATGCTCGTGATTATTCATTTTAGAAAGTAC